GAGCCAGCCACAGCTCGCCACCGCTGTAGCCCTGTGTCAGAGCCAGAAGGACCCCTGGGACCTCAGAGTTGTGGCAGTCCGTATGGGGCGGTGTCATGACATTGTCCAGCACTGTTATCGTGGTAAAAGCTGTATCCGGCGACCAGTGGCGGACAAGCCTCGTCATGAGTCTGGTGGTCAGCGGATACCTCCTACCAGAGGACCGCATCCCAGATCTGGCTCGTTGGAAGCTTCCAAAGGTCAGCACGTAGCCACCTTGTTTGCGAGTCCACTCCGCCTTGGGGATCAGCCGCAGGACGTCAAGGGCCTGAGTCTTGGTGACAAAATCCCCTGCTTCCAGCAACTGCAGAGCGCGGATCTCCGCGTCAAGGCGGGGGCGCTTGGGTGCCATTTCCGTCCCGTCCTGCCCCCCCCCTGTGGGTGAGCGAGCACGGAAGTGAGGACCGGAAAGGATCCCACAGGCTACGCTTGTGCCAGAGGCTACATTGAGGTTGGGCTACAGCAACTGGGGTCGCAGCAACACCAGCAGCGCTGACCGCAACTCCGAAAAGTACTGAGCCCTGTGGAAGTCGGCCGTGCGAAACAGAAAATCCCATCCCTCCGGAAGCACTGAAGGCTCAAATCCTAGTTGTACCGCCCACCTGTTCGGTAGTCGCTTGGGTGTCAACGCCGTTCGTGACAGCAAATCCACCTCCTCTGAAACCCTATTGAACTTTGCAGAATCAGCATCTCTCGCATCCGCTGTACCTTCAAGGACGTGTTTCTGGAGGAGGTGAGGGGGAAGGACAACGCCCGCCTGTTGCAGAGGGCTGGTAACATCATGCAGCCGAAGGAGCTCGCAAAGAGCGAGCAGCACTGGCACGACTACCACCCCTCCGTCTCCAGTCGATTGAAGGCGTATGTGCAAAACCGTGGTATCATGTACTTTCACCTTGGCACGAAAACAGTAGACACATGCGACGAGACTGCCCGGCACATGCGTCACCCAGAAGGTGACCGCTGTTCTGTTATCAGCACGCCATGGTTTGAGATGGATTAGCCCGGAACGATACAGACCCTCCAGTGCATCACGTCGTCTGCGTAGAGCAGAGATTCCCTTATCTACCACGACAAGCTGGCGACCAGCTACATACTCCGTCGTCAGGGGATGGACAGGCGACGCATGCCAATAGTGCAGCCATCGCGGCAGCATAGCCAGCCAGGCCGTGCGGTCTGTTGCCTGCCATTCCCAATGAGGCATCTCTCCTTGCATTTGCAATTGCTGATAAACCAAGCGAAACTTGTGAAAAGGCGTCTCCGAAAGCCAGGACGGCCGAAGCTGTCCCGTGGAGAGTCGGTGACTCCCCATGGTCCTGAGCATGCGGCGTAAGGGCGTGTCCTCCGTGGACCGGGCAAGGTGACCGAAATAGGTCCAAATACGTGTCAACCAGGCCACCTGCCACTGCGGTCCTCGAAAGCACTGGCAGTACACACTGAGTGCTCTACGACATCCTTGCACGTTTTCCAACCAAGTGCTGAAAGGATCTCTTCCGAAGCGAAAAACCCCCAGAAGCAAGGAATTCTTAAGCCCTTCTATGCTCTTCAGCGCGCGCACCGTAGGCCAAACGACCGAACTGCACCATTGCCATTTCGAGCTGATGTACGAGTCAAAGAGAACACTCTTAACCCTGTGCGGAGTCGAGGGCTTGTCCAAGATCTTCTTCATTGCAAAGAAAGAATTTGTCATCTTTCTGTTTGGTCACCATCCATGATTTTCCAGCTGGCCTGCGCCGTGGCCTTTGGGCTATGCTTGGCAGCGATGTACTCGGTGTACTGCATGTTCCGACTGAGTATGAATTCAATGCGTGCCCACGAAGCTGTTTTGCTGCAGCTCCTTGGAGAGCAAAGACAGATGCATGACCTCCTGAACCAGACTCGGGGCGACGTTGCTGAACTCCGACGAAGACATGGTGAAGCCCTGGACTCTCTGTACCATGGCCTGCAACTACGATCCAGACTGGGGGCAGTGGACAATACTCATGCCCTTGTTCAGGAACTCCATTCTCGGGTGTCTGGTCTCGCGGGAATACAGCATGTTGGCCACGTGCGAGGGCAGCTGCACGATGTCTTGGATGCTCTGCGCGAGATACAACAATCGCTCGAAGGGATGAATGTGGACGGGAGTGCCTCGTCTTCAGCGCTGCCCATCGTCCGACTTGCCGTTCCTACTGGTACTGAACTGCAGCTGCTGTGATACATTCGAATTCAGCATAGGCAATGGACGAGAGTGCTTTGTTGTGTTTGCTTTTGGTTCTTGTTAGCTCGGGTCTTCGTTCTTTTGGTGTAGCCTTCACACGCACTCTTCGCGCCTGCTGGAGAATTCCTTGAATTTACTGATTTCCGAATTTGTAGCCATGTAGCATGTTGGAATTTGCAGTTGTGCGTGTGCAGCCGAGTAAAAGCATGTGCCGCCGCGAGCTTGCCAGCGCATAGGGGATGATGCGATGTTTGGAAGACGATGTAGGTGATACCTTTGACCCTCGGGACCAGCATTTTCTGCCCAACACTTGGTATCCACTGCCCGTCCTAGCACTGCTTCCTGTTCCTGTCTCTAGCCTGAGCCTTGGCTGCTTGGGGGCCGCTGGGCTCGATTACATGATCGACGAGGCGCGTACTTTGGGCAGGGTTTTCAGGGTTTTCTTTGGGTTCTTGGACGTGATGCTTGTGACGAGGGCCTTTTGGGGTACTTCTGGGTAGCCGCTTCTGCCACATAAAGATACTAGGACGCATGCTGCTTCAAGCATCCCCCTCCTGCCAGCTCTAACGCCGCATGCTTGCGCAGCTCCTTTGGCTGACGCGCCCAGTAAACTGAAGGCTACAGCTAGACTCCCGTGCTGAGGCGCCATGTCTGTTGCCTTGTACCAGGCTCAACACCGCTTTCCCGAGGGAGGCGAGGATGGGCCGGATCTCACCGGAGTATGGTGCATGCTCCTCACGGGTCTGATGGGAGCCTTGTTGGCTGGTCTCTTCTTCCTTGGCCACTACTGGGGGTGGGCCCTTTTCCCCTGCATGCGACGTGCGGGGGTCCAGCAACGTTTGGACGATTTGGTCCGGGCCGTGCAACAACTGCAAGCGCTGGTTCATGCTGAAGGCTATGCCACCCGCAGTGCTGGCGCGGACGCCCTTCAACGGGCCATGGGCCTGCTTGACGTGGACGATTCCCTGACTCGCATGCTCAATGATGGATTCGAGGACGGCCGCAATCGTCTGCAAGCCATCATGAACAAAGTCATGAAAGTTGGCGAGGTGGCCAACACAATCCATGCCATGCACGCGAATTTGGGGAATACCCTTGCAAGCCACCAGCTGGAGCTTCAGAGAACCATCCAGCGTGCCAAGGACGACCTCAAGCAAGCCTTTTCCTCTGCTGGGTCGAAACTGGCGGGCAGTGAACACAAAAGCATCACAGATGCTCTCAGTGCCATCTCGGCTGCCCTCGAGCAGCGCTGAAGACGAGGCACTCCCGTCCACATTCATCCCTTCGAGCGATTGTTGTATCTCGCGCAGAGCATCCAAGACATCGTGCAGCTGCCCTCGCACGTGGCCAACATGCTGTATTCCCGCGAGACCAGACACCCGAGAATGGAGTTCCTGAACAAGGGCATGAGTATTGTCCACTGCCCACTTCGCCTTTAGGAACCTGGGACCTGGGAGGAACCGGGAAAGCCGAATTACTTAATTTTCGCTTTGCACACGGATTCTTTTTTTCTTGTCGATGCGACTCGTGGAACTGTTTTGCTTCGCAGGTCTCGTCTCGGGTTGTCGGCTTGGGGTCGGTGTCTCTCCCCTGCCGGCAGTTCCGTTCGTTTGGGTTCTGTTGGCTCTAGAGGGTATGGGTTTCTGGGTTTGTGCGTTTCTGCGCGTTTCTGGGGGGGTTCCTGGTCTTTGGACGCTTTTGGGTTCAGGTGTTTGGGTTTCTTGGTTTCTGCGTTGTTGGGTTTGGGGGTGTTTCTGGATTTAAGTGTTCAGGGTTTCTGGGTTCCTGCTGTTCTGGGCGTTCTGGATTTAGGTGTTTAGGGTGTCTGGGTCACGCGCGGGGTTCCTCCCGAAACGCAGTTTCTGGGTTTATGTGCTTAGGTTTATAAGGTTTCTGCGTCTTTGGGCGTTTTTTGACGTTTCTAGGTTTAGGTTTATAGGCGCTTCAGGTTTTTGGGTTTCTGCGTTTCTCGGTTTGGTGCTGCTTCTGGGCTAGGGCTTTTGCGTTTTTGCAGGATTTTGGGTTTAAGTGTTTTTAGCTTCTGGGTTTCTGCGTTTGTGCGTTTCTCTGGGTTTCGGTGTTTAAGATTTCTGGGTTTCGGGGATTCTGCGTTTCGGGTTTAAATGTGTTTAGGTTTCGGTGCTCACACTCACTCGGGCAATCCAATGTTTAGATTTCGGCGCTCACACTCGGACAATCCAGGCGAGGCATGTGGTTCGGAGCCTAGTGTTTCTGAGTTTCTGCGTTTTGGTATGTTTCTGGGTTGTTAAAAGCTTCTCGGTTTCTGCGTTTCTGGATGCAGTTTTGGTCAAGCGATTTTCACGAGCATGCACCGCGGAACACAAATCTCAGATCCATTTCGGTGCTCGTGGACCTGTAATTCAATTTCGCGACCCGCCAAACCGAGAATAGTGCGAAGCGGCGGCCAAAAGCTTAACACCAAGTTTGGTCCAGAGACTGGAACGAGCAGGCACCGCGGGACACAAATCTCAAATCATTTCGGTGCTCGTGGACCTGTAATTCAATTTCGCCCCGCCACACCGAGAATAGTGCGAAGCGGTGGCCAAAAGCTTAAAACCAGTTTCTGTCCAACGATTCTCATGTGGGTCTGGCATCCGCGGGGCTGGGAGGGTCTAATATCCTGAACCCCGGATTTCAGACCCTGCACTCTCGGGCCCCCCGGGCCAGGATTCCAGACCCTCCAGTACCTGACCCTATCATTAAACCACACACTGCTTGCCGGTTTGCTCATGTCTGGCCAGGCCTTTTTTGGCGGCGGGCTCCGTCGTCTCGGACCTCCAAGGAAGCAGTGGAACTACCCCAATCGGAAACCATTAAATGGATGCTTTGCAAGCCTTGAAACGGACCGTCCAGTTACAACAACCACGAGGACGGCAACTACACAGACTACACACAACGAGGACGACCAGGCACGACGATGCCGAAACAACTGCACGACCAAAAACCAACAACAGGCCAGCAAACACGACCGCGACCGATGACGACGACTGCGAAACCATCGCCAGATAAGAGAAGGGCTTAAGACATGGAATTAACCGCCATGGCTTCAGGAGAGGCCAGGCTTAAGAAACGAGGCTGGAAAACACCAAGCCACCGAATAATTACGGCTGATTTCGTCCAGTTCAGTGGCTGGCGGAAAACACCAAGCCGCTAATTGCGGCGTACTCAGGCCAGTCAATTAAGTAACGAACTCGACAACACCAAGCGGCGCATTGACAACTTTCAGAATCGTGGGTGCACACGGGGTGCACGCGAAGTGTGCACAGGGTGCAGGCAGGGTGCGCGTGGGGCGGGCGCAGGGCGATTGAAGCCCCCCTTTTGATGGCCGTCGAAGGCGTCGGGTGAGGGCTCAGTTTGATGGATTCCAACGCCCCTGCCTAAAGTGGGGAGCCCCCGACGAAGGGGCTGGGTGTTCTAGTTGGGGGCTCTGGGTGGGCCTGTGCGGGGTGCGCGAATGTGGTATGTGCATGGGGCAAGCTGAATGGAAACACTGCCGAGTTTCATCAAAGCAACAATACAACTGTGGCACATGGCCAAGATTCATGTCGCCAATGGCAGAGACCACAAGAAAAAACATGTCCTTGGACGCAGACCTTAACGAACAATGGGGACACCCGAAATTGGCCTGGCTATGTTCGGAGACTCTGCGCTAGCCTTCCGTGACAGTGTCAGAGTGCTGCCCCGCGTCGCTCCCGGAAGGGTTCAACGTCAGGTCATCACTCGCTACCACACTTCGCAGAAAAGCTGCTCAGAATCTGTTTGGGGTTTAAGATAAAGCGGTCCACCAGGTTTTAGTGTCTCGCCGCTCAAACCTGAAAGGGTACGAACCTCGCGGCATGGGACCGAAAATGACCATGACCATGTCTTGATCCGAAACTGCCTCGCCATGCTCCGAAACTCCGCCCAGAAACTAACACACCTTCCCCACCCACCTACCCACACTCTCACACTTGCTTACTAACATCTGGCTGCACTTACGTGACAAGACTTCCTTGCATGAACCGGCGCCTTGTGATCCCCAGTGCCGTGAGAACCAAGTTGCCCAAGTTCTCTTGATGGGCTCCAGGTAGCTGCACCTGTGTCCCGCCCAAGTGCGAGAGTGTCGTGAGAGATTTCCGGAGCATGCCTCCATACGCTCAAGCCCGAATGCCAGCCCCTGGCCAACTGCCTCAAGTGCCAACCCAATGGTCTTGGTGACACAGGCACTGCAGCACTGCAGCCGGCCTTGGACACTGCCTCTTTCGCAGACCAAATCCGCTGGAAGGTGGCCTCAGCTGCGACGCAAACACGCACCTGCTTTCTTCAATGGCTGCACGTTTTGGTCGCTGGCGTATCGGACTGCGCTCGAACTGCTCTTGATGCATTCCCGCTCTGTGTCAGTCAGCACGGCCTGCAAGTCCTGCACATGTCCGCGATAGAACAAAGAGCGCATGACCCTTTACACGTAAGCCTGACGACATAGCAAGTTACATCTGGAGTGACTGCGCGGGCAGGGGCATGGAGTTCATCTGAAAAGGTGTGAAGACCAGCTTTGCAGAGGCACCGGAAACATTGCTGCAGTTGCTTTCCTATCTTGGGCCCTGGGTATGTCGTATAGAACGTAAGGAGAAGGGGATGATAAGTCCAAGCCGCTGCAAAAGTTCCGAACTCCCAGACTCTCCCAAGGCCCAAGGCCTGGTACCAGGTCTCGTCCTCTCGCTCTCCACGCTCTTGCTGCGGTGCGGAAACGTCAGCACCTCTTCGGGAACTCGAACATCACAAAGCAGGTGTGCAGTCTTCAGTCGTACAGCTCAGGGACCAGCCGACAAGGAAGATGGGGTCGCTTGCTAAGACGACCCAGTTACCGTCGTGGGAAACATTGAAGTTGAAATTCCTCCAGGCTGACAGAAGGGAGAGATGTGGCAAAATGCTGAGCGGAGCTCTGCTTCATGCAAGGTGCGGCAATGTCGTCGGCAGCGGTGACAGCAGAAAAGGCTTCTTACCCTTTGTGCCTGCCGCGGCGAACAATCAAGACGTGTAGTCGGGTCAAGTACAATCCCCATGAAACTGCAGCCGTGGCACGGCCAATTTGGATTCCAGCAAAGTCGGATTGGCCCAGGGCCTCTGACAACACAACTGGGATGCTGTTTTGCACAGGAGTGGGAACTACTGCATTCCTTTGCCTGGGCGCATGCCCTGAGCCCCAGCAAGCGACCCAACAAAGTTCGCTTGCGGTCTGGCCTGACACTCACCATGGACACACTGCAAGCATCTCGCAGTTGGTCAGCCAGGGTCCAAGCAATGCTCTGTAGGACATGATCGACTCTTGCTCTTCAGGCTTCAACAACGCCAACCTGAGTGTGGCAAGTACTGCAACCTGCCTCTGAGGTTCTCACACACAGCAAACAGCAGTGCGAACACAGCAGCAGTAATCGGAACTCCTCGCCATCGGATCCTCCGCTTGGCTTCCAATCGTTGATGTTCACTGCCCACCGGAAGCCTGTATGCGCATGGCTCAGAACAGCAGGGCGAAAGCCGTACTGTACTAGTACCCCCTTTTTTGAACAAAGCGTGTCTGAGGCTCTGAGGCGCGGACGTGCCGACACGGGGCCAGGAGCCCAAAAGCTGCCGGGCGCCTTCCGACGGCGGGGACCAAGGGCCCGGAAAGACGCGTCTTCAGACGGTCTTCAGACGTGCCTGCAGGGAAAACTGCCGCAGCTCCTCCAGCAGCTCTTTGGCCAAAGGCGCCGAGAGCCATGAGGTTGACACGCTTTGACCCATCTTGTCAGGTCCCAGGGTGGAGAAAACTTCGGGCTTTTTGCTATCTCTCGTCTGCTGCGGTTTCTGCCACTGTCCCCAAGGATGCAACTTCCTTTGCTGACAACTGATTGCCGTCATCTTGGCCGAACTGACATTCATGCGTCCAGTACTCTGAGACATGCGACAGCACACAATGCCGCTGGATCAAACTGCAATGACATGCACAGTACGGGCCTGCATTCGTATGTCACAGTTCCTTTGCGGCCAGCGTGGCTTGTGACGCACATGCTCCGCCAGTGCAGACTTGCATGGTGCCTTAAGCACTCGCAAATTGCAGGTCAAACTCTGGGAGTCTGACCCTGCCAAAATCTGGCCAGTAACACGACGCCCGGTTCCCCTCCCTGCCGCTTTGTAGACAGTGGCCTGAAACCTGGTTGTGCAACAGCTGCATACAGCTGCCATAAGGATAGCCGCTCGTGAAGCGCAACGTGCACAAGAAAAAAGAGATAAGCAGGTTTGCACACTCATCCATCTTGGATGGTGGCGCGTACTGCTCCTTGCAAGATTTCAAGCGAAGGTACAGCTCGTACAATGTACAGCTTGTAGCCTGTACAATTTCGCAACATGTTACAGTTCTGTACAGGTCGTCAGGTCAACTGTAAGGCTGTGCATCGGCCGAGACACGCTTGGTGTGTGTCTTGGCAGACTTCCAAAAGAACACACAAGCGAGTGTGTGTTTCTAGCATCTACGCAACGTCACAGCGCAGCTTGTTGACCGTAGCAGCTGGCAGGTCTCCAGTCCCGGCAGCAGCGCTACAGTCCGTGCAACATGCAGAGAAGATCATAGGGTGCAGCTGTTGATAGCTGTTACTGCATTCCTGGCCCGACAAGCTCATATTAGCAATGGCGGCCGGCGGGTGTAGATGACGCAGCTGTAGGGATGGAGGAACCTGCACGGCTTCAAAATCAGCCGATGACTGCTAAGTTTGCATTACCAAAGATGCTTAAAAATGGGGACTACGAGTTTTGCAAGCCAAGAAGCAAGCTGCCCGAGCTAGACCGCAATGTCTCGGAAGCTTCGGTTTCTTGGTGGAAGACCGTCGCACTGTTGTGGTAACGTGCATCCGCTGAGTTGAAAGCCAGCGACCACTCAGCCTGGAATGGGAAGTCCACCTCCTGATGGCTCAAGAAACTGCGTTGAAAATTGAATACCGCCACGACATCATCGCCCGGCCCACCAATATGCCAGCGGTGAATCATCAAGACCTTGTTGTCCTCGTCAATCGTTACATTAACCCCTTCCCCTTGCAGCCCTTTGCTTGTGTTCAGCAAATTCCGTCGCAGCCCAATCAAGTCTTTGTGCAGAGTGAAAGTGCCAGTGTGCGTAGTCTTCATTGCCCAGTCGAAGGGTGTCCCGGCGGAAAAGGGATTTTCCACCAAGAAGTCTTGGCCCTGGAAAAGCATTGGAATGCCTGGGCTGACCATGACCAAAGCAGATCCCAGCGCCGCCAGGCGAGCAGCTACCCACGAATCTTCATGGCCGGGTGACACGACCGCCGGAAGTCGCTGCCTGCCTGCCTCATCGTGGCTTTCAATGTAAATCACACGGCGCAAGAGCGAGCCTTGGAGCGAACCTCCGAGTATGGCCGCTTTCAGTCTCTCCATACGTCGGTCCTTGTCCTTCGCTTTTGCAAGCACGTGGAAAACTGGCCAATGAAAGCCACCATCCCACTGACTGTCGAAGCCCAATCCACCCATGGAAACTTCTTGAGTCAGCGTGGCGTTGCCCTGCAAGTCCTCAGCAATCATCATCTTTCCCTGCAGCCCATGAGCGGCCTCAGTCAACTCCTTTAGCATGAGCTCTCCGTCGGGATTAAAGGTGGCCGAACTACGATTTGTCTCAGATCCGCCCCACAAGCGGATGAAGCTTACCCCATCCACTCGCAAACCATCGCAGTGCATAGTGTCCAACCAGAACAAAGCGTTGTCTCTGATATAGGACCTGACATGCTGTAAGCCATAGTTCGGGCGAGTGTGGGCCCACGGGGTCTCGGCTCTCTCGTCATTGTAAAAATAAATTCCTCCCAGATCGTTCTCGAACCATCCGTCGAAGCGCCACAAAGGAAGGTCCATGGGCCCCAAATGATTGTAGACTACATCCATGATCACGGCGATTCCTGCTTTGTGGCAGGCATCAACGAAGCGCTTGAACGCATCCGGCCCACCATATGCATGCTCTACCGCGAATGGATAGGCTGTTGTGTATCCCCAGCCAACCTCCCCATCAAATTCAGCAACCGGCATGAGCTCCACGGCATTCACACCAAGCTCAGTCAGGTGATCCAGCTTTGGGATGCACATGTCTAACGTCGCACTTCCCGACCATCCTTCATGACCACAGAAAGTGCCGACGTGAAGCTCGTAGACCACTAGATTCTGCCAGTCAGGCATGGACCAGTCAGCATCTGACCACTCGAAGCTGTCATCGGCATAGACGATTGAGTTTCCCAACGTCTCCCCATCTTGCTTCCTCGACCATGGGTCTGGGCGCCAATATGCCTCACCATCTTCGGAGACAATATGAATCTTGTAAGCGGCCCCTCTTCGAAGAAGATAGTCTCTCGTCGGGTCCGCAGCTAGCCTCAGCATCCACCAGCCATCACCTTGGCTTTGCAAATGATCCGTTGGCATCCAGGAGTTCCAGGATGCAGCCACGGAGACTTGCTGTGCATGAGGCGCATAGATTCGAACTTCTGCACCGCCACCGGCTAGAGCATGAAAGCCTTCACCATGTCTCGCACCGAAAGCCGAAATTGCCTCGAAGATCAAGAGCCTTGGCGGCAGGGCTTGTCAGCTGCTGACTTACACGTCCCACTTGAAAGAGTTGGCTACAGTGTCTACGGAATACCGACATAGCCTGGGAGCTGTGTGCAAAGCTTCAGCAGCATGGCAATAGCACACATGGCACACGAAAAATGACGTGCCGAAGCACAGGAATCTGGTTCCACTTCGGCTCCAATTCTCGCCGGCTTCACTTTGGGCCGGTATGAGCTGGATGAATGGCCAATGACAAAAACGCATTGAAGCAAGAGGTTTCCTCGATGCTTGTCAGACAGGTGGTGACAGCAGCCTATCCCTCCAGTCACAGCAGAGAAATCAGGAAGAACTTCGAAGATTTGATACTTGAGCTGCTTGGTTCCCTCACAAGTGGCAGGCCATTCGGTCTACCGTGAGCGGTGAGACGCAGGCAAACGCCGCAGACGCAAGCGGCGAGCTCTAAGCAAGGCGCAACCGCTTCTTCACTCGATCCGATTGGGGATCCAATGCCTGTGAAGACAAAAGTGAATCCGACTTTTCGGAAGTAGAGTGGGGCGCATCGCTCGGTGCTCCAGAGATGCTTGTCTTCCGACGCTTGCTCTCTCTCTGCTCCGAGCCGCGCGATTTTGCGTTGCCAGCAGATAGACTAGATCGCGGTCCTGGTCTACTTCGAGCGTCGCCGGAGTCGCCATCGCTGTCGTTCTCAGCCGACACACCTGACAAGGTCCGCGTCTTCTGCTTGGAGCCTGTTCGGGGCTCCTGCGTTGAAAGCATTCGGGGGGCTTCCTGAGTGTGAAGCTCCCTGTAGAGCTGAATGTTCTCCTCACCGACCACATACATCACTTTTTCTTTGAAGCCCCGAGCACTTTTGTGCAACGTAACGACCTTCAAAACCTTAACGCTTGAGTGTTCTGGCTCGACATCTTTGGGCTTCGATTGCGGCGGAGCCGCTTCCTCCGGCTTGTTCTGGGAAACCTGAGTCGCCTCACGGAAGGCGGGTGTGTCTGTCGCGGCTGGCGCTGCCGTAGGTGCCCTGGGCGCACTGGGCTCAGGCTGGCTGATGCCCAGCCTTTGCCGCATCTTCTGCAGCTCCGCCTGGTCGGTGTCGGCCCGGGAGCTGCGAGTCTCAAAAAGCGCTGGCGCCATCTCGATGGCCGAGGCGGCGCCAGCACTGGGCCCCGCACTCGTCGAGCCTTCCGCCAAAGCTTCCAACCAGTCTTGCTCATCGAGCAACTCTTGCCCTACCTCTTTTTGCTCTATCTCTCCCTCCGACATGTCCTGGATGGGTTCGGACAACGCAGCGGCCTGGCGATCAAAGGCCTCTTGCAGAAGGCTGGCATGCTTCTGCTTCACGTCCTTGGAGGGCTTCTGCTCCTTTTTTGGCGCCAAGCTGACGCCGCTCCAACCAGTCACTGTGACCCCCCCGGTCGTCTCAGCATCACCCAAGGATCGGCACAAGAGGGAGATCCGATCCCAGCGCCCTAGTGATCGAAACATCGCCTCCGGAAAGCTTGCTAGCAACTTCTTGCGAAGCTCTGCATCTGAGAGTCGCTGCAGAGTCGCCAACTCGATGCACTCCGCCAGCTCTTTCGCACCAACTGGCAAATAGCTGACCCCTTCAAGGCGGGCGCTGGGATCACCCGGTCCCACAACGGCCAGGTTCCGAGAGGCCCCTTTCTCACCTCGCTCCGCGGCATTCCTCTCATTCAGCCACTGCATCGTGAGGTGCCACGGGGTCAGCTGCAACTGCTCCAGCACCCAACGTGCGCAGAACGCCAGATCGGACTCGCCGCGCTTACCGGATCTGTCCCGGTGCTTTTCCAACTTCTCAAGTTCCTGCAAGGCCTTCTGGACCTTCTTGTCATCGGTCAGAAGGTCAATGCCCAGCCTCTGCAAGCGCTCCTGACCCCGCCTGGCAGCATCCAACAAGCAAACCAGCTCTGACAGCGACTTCGCTGGCTGTTGGCCTTGGCCACCTCCCTTGAGCTCTGCCCGTGCAGATTTCGCCTCGGGCCACCACTGAAACACACTCTCGGCGATCTCATCGAACAGCGTCTTTTCAACGTCTTCGGCAACATCTCCGGAAGACTCCCTTTGCCATTTCCGCTTGGCCTCTAGGTACATGTGGCGGATGCACTCGTTGTTCAGCAAGGCAAAGTCCTTGCTCCAAGGGCTGGGAACCTGCTTCTTCGGTTCGATTTGCCCCACCAAACAGCAGGTCTCCAAGCTTCGCAAAGACAGCTCCCAACTTGCAGAGAGGCCACGGCTCTGCACCAGCAGAAACTTGTTCTCAAGACTGTGACGAAAAAGTGGGGCTTTCTGCAGCAGAGAATCCATGATCGACATGCCTTGCCCCGGATTCAGACGTGCGGACATTCCTGGCAAAGTGCCATCTTTCACCGCCACCGGGTGAAGGCAAGCCAAAGGGCCCAAGGCTTGGCCGTCGTAGCTCCTCGACGAGTGTTGCATGTAATAGGATCCCACGCGGTGGCTCATTCCGACGTTCAGCAAAAGTGGGGGGAACTCCTCTACATACTCGTAAAGAACGAAAGGCTGGTCACCAAGCAGAGACAGTTCGGCCACCGTCGGCGCAGACCTTCCCGACCAGTGTTTTGCAGTTACAGGCAAACGAACCTGGCTGGGGACTGCCGTGGTTCCTTTGGGCCTCGCTGGCCTCAGCAGCCTTCCCCAGAGTGGCTGTGCACAGAAGCTGTACACTTCGCGACGCGTCTCGGCACTGGATCTCAATCGGATCTGATCTGAACCGGCTGTGTAGCGTGCCCAGTTGGGTGGCTTGAGCGGGTCACATGGTGACGGCTGAACAGACTCTGTCAGAGACTCCGGTTTAAGTGGAGCTGGCCGCAAACTCTGCCACAAGAGGCGGCACCGTCTCCAGAAAGGCGACTCCGGCGACCCGAGGCGTGATTCGCTGCTTTTCCCTGCAAGCCCGAGACCTGCCAACAGCAGCTCGTGGAAGTCATGGAAGTCTGGACTTCGCAGGAGCCGATGGAGCTCGCCTGTGCGCGGCAAAGTCCAGAAACACAGATGCAACGTCTGGCCGAAGGCAATACCGGGCCGGGACACTGTGCGAGGTCGCGGTGCTGTCGGTGAATCCGTTTTGTAGGGAGGTGGTCCACGGCCGACCTGGTCCTGCTTCTGCATACAAGCTGACGAAACATGAACTCAGACACACACAAGACTACACACAAGGTCACAAGGTATCATTTTCAGGTGGTCCTCTCGAGATCGGGACCGCAGTCGCGCCGGCACCTCCTGGCTTCTCGTAGCCAGTTGGGACCTGATGCCGATGCCGGGCAGCGGGCACCGGCACTGAATACTTCTGAGAACATCTCCTACAATACCCATGCTCGCCTGAGCGGCGTCCGCATCCATCTCGCCCCAAAACTCTCGGCCTGGGCGCGAGCTACTGATCTACTTACTCAAATCTTTGCAAATCAAACATCGGCAGAATGCCACCCTACTCCCTCACTAGGCCCATTCGAGCAAGATTCGGACTGTCACAGACGAAGGCAGTTGAAAATCTGCGCGCGGCTGTGCTTCAGGTATCAATGTCGGGAGACTTGGCGACAGCTTTGGTGAAGGTCGCGGCCGCTGAACTGGCGACTCCACTTCCGCCGTTGGCGTTGCCATGGGTGTGGATGGTACATCGAACATTGGTGAGGGCAAAGGCGTTGCAGAGGTGATCTCGTTCCGGTCCGATAGTGATTGCACCGCGCCTTGCCTCTCCTCGTGTTGCTCCGTACTGTCAGGTCGATCTTTGCTTTCTTGCTCTTCCTCTTCCTCTTCCTCCAAACTGGGCCGCAACATGGCATTGGTCATCACAGGACAGACGGTGTCGAGCAATATGCCAGACCAGTCACCCACGACGCAGTAGAAGTCCCCTCGTTGATGCGCCATGGCGAAATCAAGGTCAAGGTCAGGTCAACTCAAATATGTGCCAGCGGCGCCGGCATGAGCAACACCGCTTCCGGTCCAGGCATGTTCACCGTCAGCTCACCCAGCTGAGGAAGCGCAACTTGTAGCAGCAAGCAGGACAGTGCATCACGGCACCGATAAGTCGACACTCCATGCAATGCCTCCGCGCAAGGGGTACCTTCCTGGCTTCCTGACGGCCGTAACAGCTGCCATGCTATCTTTGAGGGGTTCAGATGTCTCTTATTGTCGCACCGCTTCAAGTCTTCGAGTGCTCGCGGGGATCTTCTTTTTGGCTCGAGCGCGGCACGGAAGGCCATTTGGCCCCTTCGTGCACTGGAGCACCGAGAACTAGAAGAGATCAGGGTTGTTGTGAAACTTTGTAGGCTGTCGCCTACATCACCGGAATCGCACTACTTGACCTGAGCAGGGACGCCATCACGCAAAGACGTGAACCGGTGGCGAACAAGTGCCGAGCATCCAGGTCCCGCCCGAAGACCTCCCGATTTACCTGCAAAGATCTGCAAAGTTCCCGAAGGTTCAAAACACCACACGGGACACGTCATGTTGAACCAGTTGAGCAGCGAACCTCTTCCAGAGGCATCGGGTGGCACTTGCCGTAGAAGTTTTCCAGATTCTCGACTTCATCGGCGACCTGACCGATTAAAAAAAACCTCAGAGAGAAGAATCTCTGCGCATTTGCAGAAGCACCTTCTCCAGCTCGAATCGCAACAAGCGCGCAATGTAGTCGTGGTCGTGGATCTTCTTCGTCTGCGGATACCTCGTCGTCCACTCCCAGCAGACAATGACTGCCCCAAGTGGGGTGATTTCGGTGGTAGTAGCCTTGTTGCGGTGGTGGTAGCTTTGTCACCTACATGGCACACCTATGACGGAACTGCGTGGTCACAAATGGGGTGGTGGCGGTAGTAGCAGGGGGAGGAGTAGCAGTAGCAGTAGCAGTAGCAGTAGCAATAGCAGTAACAGTAGCAGTAGGAGTAGTAGTAGTAGTAGTAGTAGTAGTAGTAGTAGTAGCAGTTTTGTAGTACTAGTTTAGTAGTAGTAGTAGTAGTAGTAGTAGTAGTAGTAGTAGTAGTAGTAGTAGTAGTAGCAGTAGGAGTAGTAGTAGTAGTAGTAGCAGTTTTGTAGTAGTAGTTTAGTAGTAGTAGTAGTAGTAGTAGTAGTAGTAGTAGTAGTTGTTGTTGTTGTTGTAGTAGTAGTAGTAGCAGCAGTAGTAGTAGCACCAGTACCAGAATCCGGCTCCTTAGGTAGTAGGAGGAGTAGGAGGCGGAGTAGTAGTACTGAGAATGGCGGTGATAGTTGTAGTGGGTAGCGGTCGAGGTCGATAGAAGCACGGAGCTAACCGTGTGCGGGCTCGCTCCATCGTCATGATGAAGCTTCTCATCGAGTTCTCGGTTTGCCACCCAGTCTCTCCGAATTGTTTGTAGATCTCGCATCGCAAGTCACCGACGCGCACTGCAGATTCTCCAAGGCATGCCCCACATCCCAAATAGCGGGGTGGTACGTGCGAAAGAATCAGCAACACCGGCAAGCATGAGCACAGTTGGAATTCACCACCCAACATAAGGTGGTAACAGTCACAACCAGGTCAACGTGTCAGGGTTTCCGCCATCACAACTAGGCAAAGGGTTTGCGTAACAGTAGAGAATTTTCAGGGTTTGGGATTTGGGTTTGCTACCAAGAACATCTTGGGGGCCTTTGAGTTTGATAGGAAGTCAATCACTCCGTTTGTGACGTGGTTGTCGGTTTGGCACACGGTGTGATTGCGGCCGAGTTGCAACTCCAAGGTTTGGTGTACGACGTCCCCGTTCAGAACATAAATCATGGTAGGCTCCAGGCACTTCACCTGGTGTTTCTTGGCGCAGTGTCCGCTGGGCATCTGCGACTGCTTTCTGCTCAGCTTCCAGGCAAGCGGCAGTGGCAGTTCTTCGCTTGTCCGATCCGAAAACTGCAACATCACCTGCCGCAACTCACGTCCGCACGGCCATTCCAGCTCTGGCAGCAACTGTGCCAAGATGCCCAGGACCACCCCACCACCAAGTTCGGCCACTGGCTTGCTGCCCTTCCTTGGTCCAATAAGATGCAGCAGACAGTCACAGCCGGTGCCAGCCGAGTCACAAGACTTCCACCCTACCCGCGTGAACGATGAACATCTCAAATCCCATCTCACCCTCCTCAAACAGGAGCTGAGATGTGCTCCAGGTTCTGCGCTCAGAACATTGCCCAGCCTTCATCACGGCCATGCCGGGATAGTACAACCTCTGAATCAGAGGTCGGAGTTGGGCCGACGGGTACTTGCCCAAAACCCCACCGTTGAATTCCTCACACTCTACCCAAACGTCATGTACTCTTAGTCTCCATTGCACACGGCCTCGGCTCCAGGTACTCACAGATGTGTTTCACGAAATCCCGCTCCTGAAGGCTTGGCGAGGTTCCGTCAAATTCCAACCACTCACTGAACCTAGATGTGCAAGCTAGAAGCAAACTTCGCGAAGAAGGGCAAATTGAGGAAAGCATCCGTGTCACCTGGGGCCAACAGCAGGGGTACTTGCGTGTACGACTTGCACTTGTGTGTCGGCAATTACGATCATGCCTATCAAATTCTGCATCTTCTCCAGATGTTTCAACAGGGGGTACTCGTCCAGACCTCCTGACAGCGAAGGAACTCGGATGAAGAAGCCCTAAGTGAATACTGAATACAGCTCTGTCCTGTCATGTCAACCAAAGTGAAGAAGGCGGTCCGAGACAGCATCAGCAATGAGGAGTCTTCTGAACACCGGCAGCTGTGGCTTCGCAGTTCCATCACCCCAAGTAAACCTGAGCCAGGTTTACAACGTTCGTAATGCTTGGAGCATCCTTTGCTACAGCTGCCTGCGTCACCACAGATGCCACCAGGTGCAATTTCGCCTCGTGCGACATGCACTGACTCGACCCTGCGTTACATGTCAACTAACCTTACGCTGAAAATAGTGCCGGGCGCCTATGACAATCGCCGGGGAAGATGGATTTCGGACGATCGTCTTCTCCAGTCTACCAGACAGCAGTATGCACATCCATTCTCCTCAAGATTTCGGTATGCTTCTGGACCTGGACAAAGACAACAGAAATTCTGCCAGCAGTGGCGGACGTCCTGGTTGGCCTTGCTTGAACACCGTCGCACCCCGCGCATACTCCACAGGCACGACAGCATCGCACAGAGAATGTCGAAATGCATCTGAAGCTTGCTCGAACAAGATGATTTTCCTCAACAGGCCATAGCTCGCTTCTTTGCTAATTCGTGATTCTTAGTAGTCTAAGTTGGTGGACTGGCCTATCCTATGCCATTCTCACGCAGCAGCCAGCAACTCCATGCGAATCCAAGTCCGAAAGGAGCTAGCTGCGAGGAATGTCTTGTACGCTGGCAGCCGCACGAAACGACTCCAAAATTGGCGGTCTATCGTACACATATTTCAGACTGGTCTTACTGCTGGTTTCATCTTATTGCTATTTTGGCTACATTGTAAGCAATGCTTTATATTCTCGCATGGTGCGGACGGATACGAAAGAACTAGACAACATATGACGAGAGTATTGAACCGCGGAGTATAACCACGTCACGGGCTGGAGCGATGCGGAACCATGGCCAGGCAGCAAAGACGGGATAGCGTGAGTATGGAGCATAGACAGTATAGTATAGAGTGGTACAGATTAGAAGACTCTGCGGCAATGTCATGTAAGATGCCGGCAAGAAGCTTGAGGAGTCGCGAGAAATCTCTTCGGGCACTTTGGCTCTGCATAGACTCATCCTCAGAAGATCAGATGATGCAGGGCTACAGCTCGCCAGCTATCGCACTGCCACGGGGTTTCGAGCCGGAACTTCCGCACGGCTAGTGGCAAGCCTGTCGCAAGCCAAGTAGCCCACTTTCGCAGCAACGCCTTGCGTTGAAGCACAAGCACATTGTCATTTAAGGTCGCGAGAGAACGTCGGGTCATGATCAGCACTGAGCCAAGCGTCTCTGTCGTGAGCGGGAAGTCCATGCCGTCGACACTCTGGCTCCATCTCTGGCATGTATTATGCACTTTTCGAGATGGTCGAGCCTTTACCAGCGGAGATTTCATGCTAAGGCAAGCATTATTTTGCCTGGAAACATATCGTTTTTCCCGTCTGAAGACCCATCGACCGGCCGCTGGGTCGGGCAGTATAGCTGGGACAAACGCGACGATCAAAACGCCCTTGGTCCTGAACATGTTGCCATGTCCAACAAATGAAGGCTCATGACAGATGTGTCTCCTGACCACCCGTGACCACCTTGTTCTGACGATAGCATGCCATTCCATGGTCTCTTGCCTTCATGTTCGTTGCCCTGGTTCCTGTGGAAGCCAAGCGCTGGTTCTTCCGTTACCACAGCATCCCATGTCGATGTCTTGTGTGCACCTTCCGTTGCACGGTTACACAACGCGCCGCCAATCTGCCATGTTGGTTGAGGTTGCGGGAAGCTCTATTCCATCGCTTGGGAAAGCTCCAGCTGGTTAGTTCTGCCGCAAAGACAGCAACAGAGCCGGACCCAATCAGCCGTGAAGAGTGCCACAGCATTTCCTCACCACAGCCCAAGTGACAACCTAGCTCTGGCAAAGCTTGGGCTGTTTGCCGCCTACTTCTCACGACATGCGCTCCGGCTGACACGGCATGGTGATGGGTTATCTGTCTTTGCATATTCAGACCCAGTAGCGCAAGTCGATCATCCGTAGCGGCAAGCAGCAGGACCAAGCACTGCACAATGACTCATGATGGGACATGGCGTTGTTAGCCACGTTCCGCCTGGCTGACTAGAATCTGCGCAGCTACACTTCTGCGCAGTTTGTGGCTACACCTCTGTAGTGTCTTCGGCTTCCATCGCCTCGGTGATTTCTGAAAGCTGCTTGACCCTTGTGAGTGCCAGTCACACCCAGCGGAGCCTGCTCGGAGACGGGCGCCGTCTCGCTTTGCGAGTCTCCGACCGGCTCAGCCTCAGCTCCAAGGGTGACATCTGCTCGACGGGCTCCCTGCCCTCCCTTGCAGCCGAAGTGTCGCCCTTTCCTCGTAGCGACACCTCACCACGGAGCCGCCTTTCCCACACGCCCCGGTGACTCCAAGGCGCCCTGCTCACCCTGCTCGCCCGCCCTGGCCTGGCTTCCACACCTGATAGCTCAATGTCATTTCTAGGCTATGCTCGCTATGCTCTGCCACCATCATGGAACAAAGCAGCCATGCGGCTGTCGTAGGCCGGGCAGCCGTGGCTTTTGCAGATTCCGCAGCAAGCTGGATCGCAACAGCCACACTGACACGAAGGCCTCCATGCCTCGCGAGGTTCTCAACGCTTGCAGCTGCTCAGCTCTGCTGAGCTCTGCTCAGCTGCTCGAATGCCAGCCGCTGGCCTTCTTTGCACATCAGCTGAAGGCAACTGGCAGGTGAGCTGCCATCAGCAGCATGAGAAGCAAAAGCCGCATCCTGCACGGTGTGATCGAAGCGACGAGAGCATCTAATAGATTCGCTGAATATCTGAACCGGTCTCGGCCTGGTCACTCTCGGAATTTCACAAGGTCTCTGCACTTGAGCTGTGCTGGCAGCAGTGCATGCACGGAGCTGCAACCGTTGCAGAACATGCATGTCTCGACCCTCGCACATCGCGACACTTCGGCAGTCCCTGATTTCTCCGATACACAGCGCCAGGAGTGCTTCTGTACGGATACCAACAGTACCAGTAGGGAGCGCAGCCTTCCAAGTTGAATAACGCAGGCTACAGTAATTCTTGTTGAAACGTTTGGCAGGCCGACTGCGAATTTCAGCAAGACTTCAAGTCGAAGATCACGTTGACACCTCCTTGGCACCGGCGTGGCACCAAACGGTGTAGTGTCCGGCAAAGCGTAAACGGTCCATGTCCATCCGTAGACTGAACAGCCTGTGCAAACCTGAAAGCTTCATACATCTTCATGCCACAGCTCCTCTGCCTTTTCCTTGGCCACTGGCTCCTTCTGCGGATTTCAAAGCACAGGTACGGACTCTGTGCCAACTTGCTTGGGGTTCGTTGTCCTTCTCCTGTTCGGGCTTTGGCTCGGGCAGCATGTGCATGTACCACCTTTGCAAACGACAGCCGGACTTTAACGCCAAGGCCAAGGCCACACGGAGTGCTTGGAGCCACGCCCGGGCAAAATGAAAAGGAGGATGAGCAGGATCGTCGTACTGGGCATGCTGCGTTTACACAGGCAAATCTTGGATCCTGCCACCTGGGAATCTGACATCCCAAGCAACTTCTTCGTAGCCTCACCTGAGGCTCTTTGCTCGAAGACAAATGGAGAAGAGCACCGAGCAGAGAAGGCACCAGGGCCTTCGGTGCTCTCGGAGGCACCCTGCACGACCATGTAGACCTGACGCAAAAAGAGACTCGGAAAGGCCACACCGAAGGGAGAAGGATCTCGCACGTGCTTGCGCACGTCTGCTTGCAGGCATGCTGCTGCGGTCTCCCAGGAGAAGCCCAGGACAAGAGCCGCCACTTTCACGAAAGCTTCGGAGTTGGAAAGAATCCAATCTGATAGCAGGTGAAGCGTGTGTTCGAGATTCCGTGGCTGGTGCCTGCGCCTGCTTTCCCCAGAAGCTTTGCAAAAACCATCGGAAGGAAGACCAAGGCCTTAGTTGGAAGGCGAAGAAGGGAAGAGCGCGGCGAAGCTCGAGCTCTGCGACCGGGAGTCTGATGCCATGAGAGCCAAAGCGTTCGAGGCCGTGAGTTTGGCCGTGTGGTGCGAGCCGTCCGCACCATCAGCCGTGATGTGCCAAAGGAACCACCTCGTACGCTTGCCACCCCTTTCTTGGACTCGCTGGGTCGACGACCGCCGACGACCAGACGGCCAGTGCCAGCAAGTGCCAGCAAGTGACTGGCAAAGGAAGAAGACCTCAATGAAAAGAGACCCGTCACCAGTCTTTCTTTAAGGGCTGCCCGCTTCACAGAGCGACTGCCGGCAAGCCACGAGCCAAGCAAAGGACATCAGCAGACTCTCGGACAACGTCCTCTGCAACATGCCAGGATTCCAGCTCTGAAGCGTACTGCAACGTATTCGACTGATCGCAACCTGCGACTTCGCTGTAGGAAATATTGCATTCTCGTCCCCGAGGACCTGCAGCTGAGACTCTCGGAATCGTGGCGGCGGCGGCCTACACCTGAGGCCTGTGCGCAGTGGCCGGCAGCCGCACCTGCATACCGAGAGAAAGGCTAAACTGCGGCTCCAGGTTCCAGGCTCCTTCTAGGCCCAGCTTCCTTTTGCAAGATACGTGGGAACCACGGAGCTACCCCAAAGCTTCTCGTACTAGGAACGAGCTCTTTGAGCGTCTGTTCTATGTCCCTTGCTCTCGCTCGCTCTGTTTGGGACGGGTCACGGCAACTGCGGCAAAGAAGAAGGCGGCCAAGCAGAAGCAAAACAACCATGACCTTCATCAGTCATTTTACCCACACTGCCCTGCCGAATGCATCGCCATGTTCCCCGCAAGGTCCCGGCACATCTTCTCCTGAAATCTGTAGACTTTCACCGTGCCTGAACCTGGCCCCCGGCACGGCCTCAGAGTCGTTTGGACCGAGGGGCCAAGCCATACTTCTAGCATCTTTGGCATTCATCAGGGACGGTTCAAGGGCTCCTGCTCCCGTTACCGTGAAGCGCACCCACATCGAAGCCAGGAACCCGACCTCGCCAAACTGCGGCTCCTAACCCGCCCATAAACCAGCAACAAAATGCACGTTCGAGATCGAGGTCTGCACAACAAAGCCTCCGATCTCAACTTCCATTGTCTCCACTACTTGCGTCATGCCGGACCTGGCAAATCCGGACTCTGTGAAGCGGTTGGAGCAATCAGTGACTCAGTGCGCCAGGAGCAGGGCGCTTCCGGAGCCGAGGCCGTGGTCTCAGCCTGCGGTGCAAAACGCTCTGAGCTCTGAGCTCTCGCAAAGCACTTCCAGCCTCTGGCTGCGGAGCCCTCAGCAATGCATGTTTAGGTGCTTCCAGTGGGGTTTCAGGTGCAGTCGATACATTTCAAGCACCATGCTCACCCGCATCGCCCTGCGAGAAGGATGGGATGCGCAGAAAGGGACGCAAGTGTTTGCCGCAACCTGGCCTGTGTCGCATCGGACCTTGCGGTTGCGGCGCTTGCAGTGGTCGGCTGATCTCCGGTCGCAAGCCGTGCAGCGTCTGGGGCCCAGGCTCTGCGAGAGGGGTTGCCTGCGTTGCGTGCAGCTTAGGACAAGAGCGAAGGCGCAAACTCCTCCACATCGCAAGTCCGGGCAGCTGCAGGCCTCCGCCGTTTGAGGCTCCTTCCTTCGTCCATGGCCCCGTAAGAGAGCTTGCATGGGAAAGGAAAAAAAACGTGTGTGACACTCCTCAGCCTCGCCGAAACCCAGCTCATGAGGCCGAGCAGCCTCGCCGCGTGACGCGCCAGGGATGCTCAAAGCGCAAACGTGTCTTCTGTGCCACAAGAGGGCAGCGAACAAAGACCCCGCGACGCCCCGCGTTTTGAGAAAACTGAGTCCGGCAACACTGTCATGCAGCCAACCTCACTGGCATCTGACTCTGACCAGGCACACGTTGAGGGCGGGAGCTAAGCTGACCGCTCCCAGAAAGTATCCATACGGCGAGGCACTGAAGACCTGCATAGATCGCATCCGTCTGTCGGACCGGACCACGCAACTAATCCGCCCGCTCGGGCTGTCCAAAAGTTGGGTTTCTTAGACGTCAAGCGCTGACTACCATTTTCTTGTGCCAGGCAGTGATCCATGAACTCCTGTTGCCAATCTCATTTGGCATGTTGCCTCGCAGCCTGTTACCGCACAGTTCCTGTGGCCGTGCTCTGTACATGCGTTGCAGTTTGGGCACCTCTATCTTCAGAAAATCTGAGAATGCATCGGCACCTGCGCAAGGCAATTCCGGAGCACGCAGGGCCGCTCCGAATGAGGGGATGCGACAGTCTCAAGAAAAACAAAGCACCTGCAAAGCCAATGAGGTGCACTCCTGCCGGAAAGGCTCACTGGGGTTGATAGCAACTAAAACATGCCCACCGGGCAGCTTGAAAACTCTCAGCCTGCGATCTGAAAGGCCCGCATGCGGTCGGTCCCCATGTGCTTCTCCAGCCGCTTCCGCAGGCTGCGCAGCAGAGTGGTCAATGCCGCACCGCGCCGTGGCTCTTCGAGGCGCTGGCAGACTGGGCAACATGTACCTTGGCTGACGACGCACGCAAATCTCCGACGGCAGCTAGTAACTCGTAGCCAGGCCAGGACACAGTATCAAGAAACGTAGAAAGGAGAAGACATCGCTCAGGATCCTGGACTCACTCGACCTGGGCGGAAGAGCTGCAGGCTGCAGAGAGCCCCCAAAAGCCAGAAACCAAGCTCGCGACGTCGACCCCCTGAGGCAGGGAGGAGGGATGAGGCAGTTGCGCGGAGCGAGCTACCGCCGCTGCATGTCTTTGCTTAGGTCTTCGCGCAGCCAGCTTCCAAAGCTTCTTCATGACCTTCCGAAGAGTGCACACCCGCGCCACAGATCCAAGACATGCCTGAGGCTTTCGTATCTCAGCCCAGACACCATGAAGAGGAGCACCACCGAGAACAGAGAGATGCTAGAGACCAGGACCTTCCTGGTGGCAACCTTCCAGGAACATTTCGGAGAGTGACAGGAGAAGAGATCGAACAACCACCTCGAGGGCCGGGGTGTTCCACATGTAGAATACCGTCCTCGGAGATGCCAGCACAAGCAAATGCATCTCCCAAGCTTTGCCCGAATGTCTGTGCCGCAGCACAGCACAAAGCTCAGCGAGGCCAAGAGCGAAAGCGACATGGCCTCGGAGCTCGCACTTGCAACTAGGGATTAGGGATTCGGTCGCAGGGTTCGGTGGAGACAAGCCACGATTGATGCTTGCTTCTCCTCGGCCTGCCCCACGCGTACAAAGTGAGCAGCAGGAACCCGGATGCAGGAAGGTAGCGGAGTCCTTCCAAATACCAATGGCGCTGTCCTGCCAAAAAGACTGGGCATTGTTTGGAAGTTGCGGCAGACAGGGAAACAGCTTGCTGCCCAGGTGCCGATTTGACATGTGACACTGCTTCAGTGGCATCCTCCACGGCCTGAGACTATCGAGCCGAGGCAAACGAAGCCGCAAGGGCGGTGCTGCAAGGACGTGTATGCAAGGCCTTGATAACCGGCTGCGGCACAAGCTGTGCTAAGCTCGGATCCTGCAGTTTGGCAATCAGGATTGGCGGCTCTGCCGCTCTCTTGAACCCTTCCGCAGTCCTGAGACCTGTGTTCTCGTCTCACATAACCCGCGGAATGACCGCGAAGTGGCCTCAAAGGCAACACGAGAAAAAACATGCGCACCGTCTTGCAGACAGAATGGCATACAGGCTGAGGTATGGCAGAGTTGACATGTCTGCCAAGATGCAAGGCTTCAGGGTTGCCATCTGCTGATACATGAACGGCCTGGAACGGAGAGGCAGAAGGACAGATCAGAAAAGGACTGCACACTCGGTCAGAGGCAGCCAACATCCCGAGCCTTAAATTCTGCAGCGTGGGCCAGCTGAATAAGGACAGCGACCAGGATGGCGTACGCAGGCATACTCCTTTCAAAAAGCATGATGCCAGCTTGACCTCAAGGCCACGACCAAAGCCCGCTCTCCTTCCTCCCTTCCGTGCGACGCACGGCAGTGCTACCTATGGAAATGGATTGCCACAAACGGTTGGGCCGGGCTGGCCCAGCTTGGCTTGAAGCCCATGGCTGCGGGTCCACGAGTTCCAAGAAAAGACACCTTCGTGCCACTTGCTTCGGCAGACTGCGCTTCGCTAACGTCGCTAAAGTGCACTGCATGTCTGTCCGAGTCTGCACACGGACTGCGTCTCACAACAACGACAAGCGCTCGCCACTTGCAGGTGGCGGCGGCAAGGAGGCAGCACCCTTGAGAATTTGATATTGCTTCAGCGGAGGCTTCAAGGAAAAGCGATCACAGGGCCAATGCGAACTGCACTTGCCCTCCAGGTATGCTTTCTCCTTCTTGCGCCGTGTGGCCTCAGAGCGCCTTTCACGAGGCGCGTAAGCCACGCAGACGCCCAGCCTTGCGGGACGTTGGGCAGGAGCCTGCGGACCACTTTGGCTGGCGTGCACAAGGCGTGAGTTGAAGAAGACCATGCTGTCCGGCGGCACGTCCGGCTTCAGCACCTGAGACTGGAAGCTGTCCTCAGGTGCACGGACGTGATCAGACCTGGCGCTCCTTTCCCAATCATACGTCACCCTGTGTGACCCCGGAACTACGCAGGTTCCGGACTCACCGGGTGCACTGCCGAAGTGTGTGTAGACGGCTTGTATCGACAGACCGGCATGCGAAGGATGCTGGTCCTTGTGAAGCCAGGGTTGCAGCTTGGTTTTCGCAGGTCGTGCTTCTGCGATGATCGCATCAAGGCTTACGACCAGGTCGGTCGTACCAAATATGCGGGCAAAGGCAGTGTGAACCCGCGGGTGGGCTCGTATCGACCAAGCGAAATCTGCTTGCGGAAGCCCGTAACTTGTGACGATGCCCCGAAAGCCCTTCGGAAAATTCCACGTGCTCTCTCGCGCGGGATCGATGCTTGGCGCCACGGCCTTCATAGCTGTCCAGAACTCATGCAGGAAAGCCTGGCAGCTGCCCATGCTTCCCAAGATGCCCTGCAGCACAGCAAATCCCTGATCCTCCAAATGCCGTAGGAAGTCCGTGTTGGCTTCCGGGAAGATGGCAGTCCCAAGACGGCGAAGGGCCGACTGAGGATTGCTTAGGAAAGAGTGCCTTGGTCCCTGAGGTTCCTGCCTGGGCATGGCACTCGTCGACGGACTGAGACAACGCCGCTTTGCTGGGGGGCTTCCCTGTTGGATCTCCTCGTCGTCTGAGAGATCAATTACTGGCACCTCCACCCAGTTGGCATAACTGGATGCCACCATCACGCAACGTGGAAGTGTCTACGGATCTTTACGAAAGTTCTAACGCATGCTGTGTGTCAGCTCTCCTGCACCGATGCACCAACTTCTCCGATTATGATTGCACCCACGGTCTCGGTAGTCTAGTTGCTGCTGTTTCGCAGGAGCCTCGTCTGACTCCAACACCTGGTTTCCTCATGGTGCCTCGAGATGTCTGACCTTCGATCTAAGTATCTAAGTATTGTGATCTCTTTTGCCTACCTCCAGCGGACAGAAGAGATTGTCTATCCTTGCTTGGGCACGTTGTCTTCTGTTTGCGGGCCTAGAACCGCAAGGCTGCGGTGCCGACCTCGAGCCCAACTGCCGCACACTGGCCATGGCATGCGTGGTCAAGACAGGCCAGCGCAGGTCATGCAGACCAGTGACACAACAGATGCCACACTGGGCTGCTGCTTTTCCTGCCGCTGCACGCGCTGCAATGCGCATGCGGCCATGGCGCGACCGTCGAAGCTGGCCAGGCGCGAGGCGCTCGAAGCTCTGCATGGAGCTCAGAGAGCTCAACTCGAAGAAGTCCTTGTTTCGACGCCGAGATGCTGTGATGCCGCGAGGCTCATCGCAATGGCCATGTCTTGCTACCACCGCCCGGGGAATCGCATAGGAGCATCATTGCTTGCTGACCGGCACCTGGCGGCAGTTCTGAACGCGGTAGTGACGGGCGAGGGACGAGGGCGAGCCCTTTGTGGTTGAATGTGACTCCATGCGGGGATAAACACTGCCAAAGAAACATGCGAAAGGAGATGTGGGTAATTGCGGCCCGTCATCTGCCAATCTTCTGAAGAGATCCAGCGCGACGCGCGAGACCGTCTCCTGGCTCAGACTCCCGCAGAAACAATCAGCGCCCTGCTTGTCCCTTGCACCCGGGCTCGGCGTCCTCGCCCCACATCTCCCCCCACTTTCGCAGCAAACGCCGTCCTGGTCATGCTCGGGCACACTCCCAGCTGTGGCAGCTATGCGCTTAGACTGAACAGACAAACAGCATGGACTCTCACGATGGCGTCTTTCTGGCGAGTGGCGCAGCGCTTGCCAGTTGCTGGGACGCTCGAGCACCGCAGCCGCATTCTCTGGACGCAGCATGTCGCAGCCAGACTTGGCGACGATGAAGTCTACCAGGCGAACGCCCAACCTTGTTGTCTTTTGGCTTCTGTGCGGTGCATTCTTGCAAAGATGTGCTTCACACTCTCACACATGCACTTACTAAGTGTCCGACTGCGCTTCTTCGTAGCCTTCTGCATACTGTCCTGGGATTTGCCGGAACAGGCCATGAGGGGGGTTAGATGCGAAAACCTGTGTGCCGACTGAGCGCAGGCTGGCCCAGAGAACATGAGGAGAGAAGTGGGCTTGAAACAGAAAGGCTGTGAGTAGCGCTATCATCGTCCAACGTTGCCAGTCAGAAGCTGGCTTGCTGCTGTCAGAAGTCTCCCGAGGCCGCTGTTAATTTCATCGGTCAACTTCAGAAGCGCTTCGTGTGGATCGTTGCCTTGCCGAGGAATCCAATCGGCCAGCGGCACCTGAGCCCGCCAGCTCAGCGCCCGTGGCTTCGATACCACATGTCGTGACGCTTCAGTTGCGAGACGATTAAAATTCGCTGTGGACATGGCAAGCCCCTGAGCCTCGATACCGAAGGTGCAGCTGTGCTACCGTCGATGGATCGAAACTCCAGCATGGATCCACCAATCGGGTGTCCAAGTGCCAAGACCTCGAGAGTGGTGCGGGCGTCGAGAAAACAGAACAGAAGAGGGCAGGAAGCACCAAAAAAAGACATGCAGTTGAGCTTCGGAAAAAGGATTGGTGTTGGAACCTGCTTGGCAGATGGCTTCTCCAGAAGAAGCGCCTTGAAGGATGTCCACCTGAAGAACCCAAACAACAGGAGCCATTGATTGCTCGGGAGCCACTCAAACTGGTGAGCTCCTGACCTCTGCACACCCGTACCATCCATGTCCTTATTGTCTCAATTCTGAAACTGGTGCCGCTGATGCAAGGACTAATTGGAGTCGCATCTGAAGTGGACCCAAGTGGCAGATTCCCGTCCATACCAACCCTTGATGTGACGAGAGATCCAATCATCCTGCAACACGGCATAGCCGGGAACGGAGTAGGACTTGCCCTCAGTTGCGCAAGCTGCTGAGTGCCGCTTGCCATACCCGTTCAGCCACATCTCGGTCAAACAGAAACCAGTGCTGCCGATGAGCGTGCAGAGTCAAGTTCAATCTGCTGAACTGTTCGAGGAGATTCTGGGGACCATAGAACCTGGGCTTCATTTCTGGGAGTGCGGGGGTGCCAAGACGCACAAAATTGGAGCTTGCGGAGTGGGCGCAAAGTCCGCCATCCACGTCTCTCACCGGCAGCGGCTAGGTTTGTGAAGTCCACAAACGTTGTCCAGTCAATGCGCCCCGCACCTTCCACAACATGCAATGCGAAGCACACTCATCCTCCAGTGCAGGAAGGCAGCATTTTGGCCAGAAATTGTGGCACTCTGGCAAACCTGCCATCAGCTCCTGCAAGCACAATCTGTTAGCAAGCGAATCCTCACAGGAATCAGATCAATGCAATGTCATGCGGCAGTCATGCGGGATCGGTGGCACAAAGATACCATCATTGTCTCCGTCGACGCTGAGGCTATGGACCAATCCCTGCCCGACGCCGCGAACCCGCTTTTGCCAGAAACCAAGACATGCCTGCAATGCCTGCAATGCGCCTCGAAGTTGGCACCGTAATCTAGACTAAGCTTGTAGCCGCCAGTAGGGCCCAAGAGACAGTCGACTAAGTCGATGAAGTTGTCCTGCAGGGTGACCATCGAACAGCGAAGCGACAGCAGTTGCAGCATGTCCTCCCCTGGCCGCACCTCAGACATCAAGCAAAGCTCATGCCCGCAACTAGCAACACTCACTGGCTGGCACGGCTTGCACAGCGTGCGGACACGTTGCGACGACGTGGACAGCCGGATAGCCTGAGCCAATTTGAATTGAACATCGCTAGATACGGGGTGACAGCACCAAGGAAATGCATGGAAGCCTGTTGAGATCCCCACCCAGCTTTCTGTAGAACAAGGCCAGTCGAGCTATACGTGGCTCGTGGGCATCAAACCACCAAGCCAGTTCATCGCAGCGCTCCTGTTCTTCACAAGGGCAAGCTGCTAAGTCGGCATAATCCCTCCACTCTGTCCCCTCTCCTCTGACAGGGAAACCGGGAGCAGGTGGGTCTGCGTCGCATGCAGGAACTCAGCCTCCACATCCGGCAAGTCACCTCGTGCCAAGAGCCAGTTGTCGTGAAGGTACTCTAGAAGCATCTTGGCGCATGGCGCAGCTGGTGGCGCACCTGGCAATGGGCAGTGCTGGCGACAAGACACACGTCCCCTTCTCTTTTGAGTGCCGACCTGACGATAAATGTCCCGGGGCAGCGCCACAGAGCTTCGCAGCTCGCCTTAGCGTTGCGTGACCCAGTCGCTGCGATTGAAGCACTGTGGAGAGCACCCAATGGTAGACAAGTGTCTGTCAAGACGACTTGTGACTGCGCGGAGTCGATCCGATAGCTTCGAGTCCTTCCTGATCCGCATCCGCATATTGTGCGATGCGAAAGGGATGCCTCAGTCCATCTCCCTCGGACCCATACTACACCATACCTGCAAGATCCTGCAAGTAGCTACTGCCAGGGCAGCACAGCTGCCGAGATCCAAGTGGTTCACCAACTCACTCAAGCTGAAGGCGATGGCCAGACACGACGTGTTCACAGCTACCTTGCCGATGCGGCAGCTGCCCCCCAAACGCACAGAATCGCTCAGGCATGTGCATCAAGCGCCAGACCTTCTCTTGAGCCTCACGGCCGATAGATGTGTTGGCCATAGCCTTTGCATGGCTTGCGGGTGCAACATGCAGGGGGCAATACACGGGCCGATGTGGGCTTAGGCAACAGCGCAGAATGTGCTCTCGGTGTAGCTGCGTACTTGTTGAATCGTTCCTTCTGTCCATGCCTGTCAGGTGGACGCGTCAGCTGCGCAACAGGAGTAGCGCATATCGCGGAGCATCATGATCTCTAGCATTGCATGCCTCCGAGAAGCCCATGACCATCAAGAGCTGGTGTAGCCTGTCCTCCAGCTTGTGCTTGTCAGATCCGGGCCCCCGGCCGCCCACTTCCAACACAGGCAAGCTTACTGTCCTCCGGTATCGTGTGTACCACTCGCACTTCTTGCCAGGAACCTCTGTTCAGATCTCAGGCCGTTCCAAGGATGCCATGATCGACTGGCTGATGCATCCTGTCGAGCAACCACAGTCGGTGATGTTCGGCTTTCCATAAAGACCAAACCTTAGGGCATGGCTTGCGATGACAGTCGACGCAAAAGTACAAGAAAGGGCCGGGCCGAAGCTTTACGGGTGCGAAGGCATCCAGCAGCTCGTTGGAAAGTACCTTACTCCAGGGCAGGGTGTAGGGGTTTTGCCGACTCTGCTGGCCCCACGAACAAATGCAGCGAAAGCCAAGCCACCACAGAAGCACCCGCTTCTGCCGTGCCGCGATCTCTCGCCTCGCATTCTGGAGCATCCAAGCCCTCCGCGCCTGGCTGTCAGAAAACAATCCACCACAGATTGAACTGCAGATGCCAACCGTGTGTAGCTATGTCCTTGGCACGCAGTTGACGCTGCCAGGGCTGCCAACACCGACTTGCAACTGGCCTCAGAAAATGAAAAGGAATCTCTACGGTAACAGAGGGTGCTCCCATCCCACATGCCCCATGCTTCTTGAGATTCCAGCCGTGCTCTGTGCATCTCCAGACACTGACCGAAGTCCTCGAGACTGCTGCCGTTTGCGAAGTGCAGGAGACCTGCAAAGCAGTATTAGGTGGAGGATCTGAGAACGCTCGTACACGGGCACACAAGCTCGTGCCCCGCAGGAGGGGCAGGACTGGCCTTTCCATGATGGTATACCTTGGTGAACATCGATGTCGATGGCACCAGCAAGTTGTGGCAAAGCATGATTAGACCGGGTCGCTCGAAAGCCGCGGTCCATCGACGCCACACAGAGGGCGCCAGCCCAAGGGCGTTTGTTCGGACACACTGCTGGGTGTCGTAGGCCAGCTGACCGGAACCTGAAGAGCCAAGGCTGCACCGGCCTCTCAGCCTCTATGCCAATGCCAATGCGCACCTGCACCCATCTCCACAACGCGGAACGGGGCGCGCTCGTTAAGCTGAACCTCAGAAGCAAACTAGTCTTTCTCACAATCCTTTTGCATCCACGGGTTTGCTGACAACAGTGAGTACCAGGCCCACATCACGAAGAGCAAGCGGCAGAAGACTCTTGCAAAGTGTGGCGACAGCGCCATGGGATAGGTAGTGAAATGGGCAAACTGCTGTGTGCCCTGCGTCTCTCCTTGGCCACCTTTGCCTCCGCCTAGAAGTACATGCCCCTTCGAATAATAGCCCCACTCATCTCCATATTGCGCGTCAGTGTAGAAGTCGTCCATCTTGTAAAACTGCTCCGTTTCAACTTGTGATGCAAGCACATCTGCCCAACTGTTAGACGTCGCATTGGCCAAGCAGCACAGCTGATGAGTGAAGGAGCCAGCCCAGCAGGCCTTATTACCCCCAGGTCCGTAGTTGGCCCCGCAACAGAAGTCATACGAAAACTCCCCGACCCAGCAGTCGGCATTGGGGCAGCACTCACCAAAGCTGTAACTTCCATCCCAACACTCAGGTGCCGTCGATGCATCCCCACGACAGCATTTTTCCTTTGTGAAACCTGCCTGCCAACAAACATCGGACGAGACATCCCGCAATGCTGCCGTCTCGTCGGCGAGGCTATCTTGCCATTCTTGAATGCTGCGGACGGACTTCTGTGCCAGCAGACTTTCCGTCGCGATTGCATGGGCTGGGACGAAGACTGCGAGAACGCCTCGATGCCATGGCAAGAATCCAGCCCGTGCCATCCGCCTTCACTAAACTTACAGTGCTGAACAGTTCGTGTTGAGCTGATTCCCGCTGTGACTTTCTGGCCCAGTTGACACAATGCGAGTGTCGCCTAAAGTCTTACGGCGAAAAATGCAATCGTGCTGCCCACCCACATTTGTTTCGTTCCACGTTGCACTCCCCAAGTCCAACACACACCATGGGCTGCAAGAGCTTCGATTGCTTCCAACAAGAAGAGGCGACTGAACACCGAAAGCAAGTTACAAGCGAATGTACCGTGCACCATGAGGTCTGGAAAGCCATCAGGGCAACCCCGCGGCCCATGTGAAGGCGGCAGGGCCATCACTCTCACCACAAGAACCTCAACAACATCCTGGACACGGAACTGCCTGAAGCGCTGACTGCCGTCCTCATCCCTCTAAGCCCGAGAACTTGGACTAGAGTGGGGCTCGGGCATGCTTACACATCTATCCCTGTTGCTGCCCCAGGTTGTGCTCACTATCCAACGGCTAAATGCAATCTTGACCCGGACAGCCCGTGACCAGACTTGCATCAGATCACAGTCGACCCATGTCGAGTCGACTTCTTCCGAAACATCGTGCCAGATAGTAGTGACAGTAGCGACGAGCGAAAATAAAGCACTACAGAAATGACCCAGCACGAAGGGCTTTGTGCTGAAGCTCACACCAACGACATGCCATGTTCCCAAAACGCATGGCTAACTGGCACACCCCTGCACAACTAAGCCGCCCGGAACGGAACGCAACTTCCGGATCCCAACAGCCCACCATAAAAGCCTGCCGTGCAATGCTCTGAATCAATGTGTTTGCCTTGAAAGCCGCAGCCCGAACTCTCCGAAGACTGTACCAAAACGAATGGCAAGGCCGTCCGTGTATTGACACGCCAGGCTTCTTGTCATCCGGTGCTCGGATCATCCTGAGTTTTTCTCGTTCACCACTTCCCACCGCACGGTAGATCAGGAGTAGGAGAGTGTGAGAGCGCGGTCTTGGTGCTCCAGCAGGTCGGTGCCTCCGGAGCGGCATTGGTGCAACTACACGTAGTCCACGAAGGACTTGAACAAGGATGCCGTGTCGCTTAGCCAAGAAGCGGTGTCCGCGGTCATTGGCATCTGCTGTTGGTAAATGATTCCGTAGATGTCGAAGCTCTTGCAGGTCTTCAGGAAGTTGAGCCAATGACCAGGCCAGGAACAAGCCCCTGCAAGACTGTTCTGGACATCCTGAAAAAGGTTGACATGAGCCTTCCTCTAAGCATCTGATAGGGGTGTCACATCGGGGGCTAAAATAGGGGCAGGTTCCTAGAAGGAGGTTCCTGAGGAATTTGGACCATGTCTCCTTCTCGGATTATGTAGAGCTTTTCGCGACTGCCCCGCTTCTGCACTGCATTGTTGCCTTCCGCATGGCACCATCAGTTGAGTTTCACGTTAAGCCCGGTGTTTGCGCGAACGGGCCAGCTCGTCAGGTCATCGAACGAGTCGCTACAGCATGGGTGAGGTGGGGTGGGGTTTTACGACCGAGGCCTAACCAAACTCCTGAGCATTCCTAAACTAGCTCGCGACTTGAACGGCGACTTCAGCCAATTTGGCTTGTACTGGGAGTTGTTCCTGCATTCTTGTTCTGCCTACAGACTACCAGAAGAAGATAGCGTGAGCGAGTCGTAGTACGAGTTTTCGTGAAGGGATTGAACCAGCTCTCCCCGCGCCGTGATGCCTGCGTCTTCTCCCACGCCTGCAGCTCCTCAGACAAGGCCTGAGATGGAAAACATTCCACATGACGATGTGCATTCATTTCTACATGGCTTCCTGCCTGAGATCCACCCGCGATGTCTGCTTATTGGGTCATTTTGGGGTTCCGCCTGAGGGTCTCTTCATGATTTGGCCTCAGTCGCGGGTCCACCACACGCACAAACTACGAAACTTTCCCGACATGACAAGTGCATACCTAAAAGAACTAGCTGAAAAGAAAACCCCATCCGTAATGGAAGGCCTCGGCCAGAGACTGAGTCAATCGACCCCAGAGTGGGGGTGCGGGCGCTGATGTTAGGTACGGCGATATTGTGAAAACATGTCTAATTTCTGGATATGTAATATCCGTGTTTGTTGATAGGAAGCAGATAAACCAGAGCGTTACACCTTTCAATCCTGCGCACTCTGCTACAGCAGTCCCACACATGAGGCATCCTGTCCGGATTGGGAATCGATAGTAAGGATAGTATATAAAGAAGCATTCGATACACTATCAGCGAATGCCGTCTCATGCTGTTCTACCCCATCCAGGTAAGAAATGCTGCTGGCCTCCATTTACGGTGGGTGGGTGTGTGTGTGTGTGTGTGTGGGTGCGCGCGTGCAGCAGCTAGCTGGTACAAGTACCTGGTCTTCGTCGCTGAAGCAACTTGCCAGTGTATCAAGTTGTCCATGCCAGCGATATGTAATAGTAAACTTGGAAAACCTTGCAAGACTGCCTCCAAAACGCAAACCTCACTATCCCTCGGAATGTGAAGGCTCGTACAGGGACGCATGCAGGCAACACAGCTCTGTTTGGAGTAGAGGTTGCAACCGGGTTACATGGCATCAATGAAAAAGTTACGCGTCATACCCCATCAACTCTGGAGAATACACGAACGGGCTACGAGCAATTTTTTGGACCGGGACCAGCAAAGCTCAACACGGAGATCGGCCTCTCCCGAACTCCCCAAACCCGAAAGCGCCAATGCACTGAAGGCATAAGTGCCAGCTGCCGGAGGAGTCGCGGGGGGAAGGGGGTGGACGGGCAGACCGGGGAAGAAAGTCAGTTTACTCTGCTCGCCACGCAAGCTGGGTGGTGACCCGATCCAGCTGGTGACTGCTGCAGTAAACACCTTGGGTCTCAGCAGCACGCTGAGAGGCAAGGGAGTCGGCCTTGTCAGTGAGGATGTGGTGGCACCACAAATTTTGAGGGCCAAATTCATTCGCAAAATCTTTTTTGCTGAAATGACTACGAACCCATGTTGGAGTGACGCGGTGGCGGAGGTGCCAGGCATCTTGCAAAACACGAGGGGTTGTCTTATGAAAGGAAGACATGAGGCATCGGATGGCCGGGTTGCAGTCAGAGGTGAGGTCAACTTTACCTGTGGAGTTGAAGAGGACTTGGGCGGTAAAGGCAGCCAGCGACGAACCGACTGCTCCAAGGCGCGGGTCCCCTCGACCCGTCGGTGGCAGTAGCCCCGAGACAACCTGGAGGCTGGCATGCAGCTCCCGGGAGTTTGGCGCACGCACCGAGGAGGTGATCCAAAGTAATGCCTGCGGAGCCTCCGCCAGCAGAGTACAAGATGGAGCCTTGCCAGGCCTGGGTAGCGCGGGCCATCGGTGCATTTACCAGAGAGAGAGGACTGTCCAGTCCACGCCACTTAAAACCAGCCGCCGAGCGGACAAAGCCGGATCCTAATGGGAAGAGTCGTTTCCAGCTAGGCTTGGCAGCGAGTTGCCGGGACCATGAGACCTGCCAGGTGCGACGGAAGACCTGAAGGGCGTCCTCCGTGGCGTGGGCTGCCATACAGTAGGGAGGAGAGCGCTGACGTGCTCAACCAAAGTCCAGTTGGTGTGGGTCTGTGGCGCAGTGCGACATGAGGTCGAGGATGAAGTCGGTTGATTCTGTGTGCTGCGGCCTGCCTTCCACGGAAGCCCGCATCACTTTTAGCCCGTGAACAGGCCAGAGGCGAGGACCCAGGCCAGGATTAGCCGCTGGCGGCGGAATCTGACTGAAAACGCTGAGCAGCGATGGTAATGCGCCTGCGACGGCAAGGCCAAGGCCGAGGTCTTTTACACGGTCGGCCGGTTCAGGCTCCCAAGGCCAGCGAAAAAAACGGACTGTCGAGCGAAAAACTGGGTGTTGGAAGTCAACTCTCAACCTCTGCGCCTTCAAGCAACGTCAAGACTGGCGTCATCAGTTTCAAGAATCCGCAAAGGGATGCCTCTTCCTGGAACAACTTCTAATCTTCATGCTTGGACCAGGCTTTTGGCAGAGCAGCTCACGGGGGATGCCAAAAGCGCACGCCTAACAGTCGAGGATGCTCTTGGGAGTTTGGAAGCCGTCAACAAGACTGAACATGTGCAACTTCACAGTAAGGAATATATTTTTTATTTTTTGGGGGTTCTTAAGCAAATAGTAGTTATATAAGGGCATCTTAATCCTACCTAGCTTCATCCCATCTCTTGAGGCCCCTGACGGTAGTTCTAGAACTAGGGATCTTAAAGTTTTATTCGGCGTTCTGCTGTCAAGGCTTCATCCCAGCCTTGGAGCAACCACGAACTCAGGTCCCCACCTCGATCAGCGCCGCCGTCTCGTTCGAGGGCTCGTCGGGGACGGCGTCCTGAAGCTTTTAAAAAGAATCATTATTGGGGCCCTTGCTTGCGTCAGCTGCACTGGAGTGGTGGTGAGCATGGCGCTCAACTTCGCAAGTGCTGTGGTCGCTACCAGTCGATGTCCGTTTTGTATAAGTTCTGTGCTACTGATAACGATGGTGATAACCATGACGGCAACGGCGATGATAGCTACCATGCTGGCGATGCTTGTGATAACTATCATGATGACGATCATGGCGGCGATGATGAAGTCGATGATGGTAACAACGAGGATGGTAGCCTAAATGGCAACAGCCATGATGATAAGGATGGTTGACGATGATGACGACGACGATGCCAACGGCTAACGACGATGATAGTGGGGCGATCTGCAAAAGGTTGCTGCGCACGGATCTTTTTTCCCCACCTTTCATCACCTCACAAGAATTAACAAACTTGCCCCAACCTTAGTTCATCGGCCCCACCAGCATTTCAGCGTTCTGCCGTAGCACAACTTTGTTGTCTGACTTCACAGACTAAGTTCACGGTGGGTTTTGATGTCCAGCCTGTCTCTATATACATCCAGGCAGATGTTCATGTTCTGCGAGCTCTGTGATAACAAGTTGCTGAGCTTGCGGCCCATGGGCCCATGTGCAGAATCAGCCCAGGAAGAATTCGGCTGCAGATCCGGTTCTCGCGAGCTCCACATATCGAGGCAACAGATCCGTCTGGGACAAGAGCCGCTCCTGTTGCCTGGCCAGGGCTTGTGGCCTATTGCTGAGCCCGTTGCTTCACTATCTTCAGCCAGGCAGCGGTGCGTAGGAGAAGTGGACGGCGAGACTCCGCCCAACTGCGCAGGCGTGGCCACCCGTGCGCTCCGCGTGGTTTCCACCGAACTCCTCCTCGTCATCTCCGGGCCCGTGTACACGGGACCAGTCCTCATCACTTCCCAAAACAAAAAGCGAAAAATCTGAAGGGACTCTGCGTCATGTTTACCGTCAAGGCTCCACTCCAAGCAGATCTGCAGCCTCCAGCGCGAACCTTGGTTTCGCATGAATCATGCTTGGGCACTGTGACATTCCATCCATTGCCCAGCAACAAATTTATGCTCCATCTGGCCCCCGACGCACGCCAAGTCTGTCCCGACCAAGGCGAAAAGTGGACGTACTGGTGCTCCCGGAACCCTGCCCTGCAAACATCTTCGTGCGGCATGCTGCAAACGGGGAACTGTAACTTCGGGGATACTTTGGGCCTGTGGAAATCGAACCAGCCAAAGTCGAAAGCGCATAGGGTTCCATCACGTTCCCTATCCAAAAAGCCTCCCAGCGGATGGTCTCAGCAAACGGGACCGCGGAAAAAGGTGTCCACGAGTCGCTGAAAAGTCCAAGTCACTCTCGTGCACCAAGGCAGCGCAGTCCCAGCGCTTGAAAACGCAAGAGCCCATCGGGTGTCGCTCAAACACGTAGGAGGCGTCCATGTTTACATCTGCCACACCTCGCCCAAAACATTGAAGAGTCCCGGACAGGCAGGGAATCGAGCACACGCCCGTAAGGACAGACAGACAGACGGACAGACAAATACAGTCACAGAAACACACAAGCAGACAGACAGGCAGACAGGCAGTCGGGCAGGTGCTTAGGCAGACAGACAGACAAACAAAAAAGCAAGCAAACAAACACACTTGACGCAAAGTGCCAGCAGATCTCAAATCACATGAAAAGTCAAGTCGGAAGTGTTACTAAAGTTCGCGTCCCTGCTGTCGTGAATAATGAACGGTCTTACGATGTCACCATGTTCAGCGAAGGCAGAATGCACGACGTCACAAACAGATGCTAACTCTCCGTAGAAGTTCATGACACGACCTCTTGCCACGTCAGATGCAAGTACACAGAACTGGCCAAGTTCTGCTTGCCATGAGATCAGATAGCTTGATTTGACGTGGTCCCTGATCTCATGCCATGTCCCACCGTTAAGCACGTGCAGACAATAGTTTCTGGCTAGCTGCAACGTTAACTAGTACCCTTGGAAACAAAGCTTGACACAGAGAGACATATCAAAACACAGAGACATATACATATATATATATATATATTCACGCTTACATTCTTTCCCTGCATTCTTTCCTTCCCACCCTCCCTGTCTCTCGGCACACAGGCGCAGGAAGGCATGCCCTCTGTCTCTCTGGCCCAGTCACCACGCTCACTCATGTACAAAACTCGTCCTTTGCCACCAAGTCAAGCGTCGGATCCAAGCACTGGAAGATGACTGCTTGCCAGTGTCATTGTCCAGGTGCTCTGGTTCAAAGCCACGGTGAGCCCCGTGCTCTTGGTGAACTGCTGAAAGGATGGCGTGGTTCACTACCTTACAAGATAAATTGCTAACTATTCCAAGTGCAACTGCGAATAACCTCATGAACGGTCAAAGCTGTCCGAGAGAGAGATAGACCTCAGCCTATGTAACACCTCCGTCCGGCTCGTTCAAGACGAGTTCGACATCACAGCCAATATGCAGCACAGGCGCATTAGCTGATACGAACATGCAGCGGTGACGCAGCTTCTCCCGCACCAACTCAGCAATGGCATGCCTTGCCAAGAACACGATGTCGTCGTCAACCTGGACCGAAATCCGACATCCCAGATCGTGCGCTGCAAGCAACCGCCAACAACAACAACCACAACAACAACAACAACAAGGTCAAGACAGCCTAACAGTTCCCACGCTTTTTGTGGTTTCGGACCTCGAAAATGCCGCTCCCACCGACAAAGTTGGACTTGGCATGGGTGGGGGGGGAATAAGACTTTTGTCGAAAATCGATGTTCCTTCTTCCCGCTTTCTTTCCCTCCTACTTGGCGAGGACGAAGCCCGCATTGCAGGGTACTTGGTTGGACAGCGGTTCGGCTTTGGACTTTGAAGCCAGAAAACTTTACATATGCTCTTCCTGGGGTGACTTGATGACCCAAAAGGAGAACTGCAGCAACTGAAGACAACGCTCATCCTTTCAAGGATCTCTCATAGGCGACATGACGATCCCAAAGGAGGTCAAGACAACGGAAAAAAAGGGTTCTGGCGTGGGTTTTGGACACGGCGGCGTAGAAAGGGTCACTGCTTTAGTCGTGCAAAATGGCTTTGAAACATGAAGTTGTTTGGGCGCCGTTCGGCGTTAGCGCTCTTTTGGGACTGTAGCTTATTTTGAAAATGCATGTTGGTGCGGGTTTGCGCGCATGGAAGGATTCAATTTGGCTCTTGTTGTGTGGAAAAGCAGGAAGCACAGAATTCCGAAATGGGGTATCCCTCCGATTTAGCGCAAACACTCGCAGGCAAGAACAAGCAACCGCAGCAAAACAACAGAGGAAGAAGCAACGACGAGCGTGATGATGACAATGAGCTGAAAATGAGCATCCAAATCAACATCGTGGCATCAACATCGCCTGGATGCAAACGTTATCATGCTTAGGACATGGATGCTCTGCGGGAACGGATGGAGTCTGATCTGGATGTTACCATGGTTGGGACATGGATGCTCTGTCCTGTTACCCCGCCACCCCCCGCCCCTCCAAGTCCGAGTTTGTCGGCAGGGCCAGGTTTTTTTTCATGGCCTGACAAGGCGAAAAGCTTGCGATCCGTTACACAGAACAACAACCACAACCACAACCACAACAACTACAACCACAACCAAACCACACAACCGCAAAACCACAACCACCCAACACAATCAGAACCCCACTCCCACACCCACACCAGCAACAACCACAACCACAACCTCCTGCCTTGACATACACCGTATTTGTTTCATTCAGAGATCTGTACAGCGAGGGGATGCGGTGACGAGGGTTTGCCGGAGAATCTTGGCGAAGATCTGACCACGAAGCTTCCGTGTAGTCTCGGATCTGAATGCAACTCGGGCTGTGTGCATAGAGGTCCTGCATCCGCTCAATAAGTGTCAATGCCAAAGAGTCTGGTCCTCAGCACTCTTGCGACTGCAGCCTACCAGCGGCTCGCTGAGCTAAGTGCTGTCTGCAGTCAGGATTCGAATCAGAGCGAAAATAATGCAGTCCAGAATTCCCTGGTGGGCTCTCAGGTCCCGGCGTAGATAAGGCAGCAGCGCGCGCATTCGGGACCCACGCCCGGTGAAGACCACTGCCACCACGCGAACGCCAGCGAGGTCGTCATACGCGTCGGGCGCGTCGCCAAGGCACCTTCGTGCCAAGGGATCTTCCGGCCCGAGCTGCGGCTCGGCGCCGGAGTTCCCATGCGTCAGCCGGCCCGAGTCAAAGAGGTGTTCTCTGGAACTTGCACAAGCCACCTCCACCTCCGGCCTCGACTGGGAGCTGTCGGGCTCCTGAATTCAGGCGGCACTGCCATGCCAAATTCGGCAGGTCCGGCATAACCCCCGGCATATCCCTGCATCCTGTTCCGGCTGCACGTCCCAGTTCATTGAGTCAAGTGCTGGCGACAGCCCCACCGCCCTGCTCCATTGCAAGACCTGCAATTCCACCAGCTGACCCTAAGACCACTGGATGCACCCCACGAGCCGTGCCTCCTCTCTCCTCCAAGATGTGAATGCGTTGCACACGAAGCTTCCCACACATACCGACCTGCAAAACGAGTGCGGCTGTCCTTTCACTGACCGAACTGATTCGTGAGCCGTGGCACTGCTGCCAATGCTTGAGATCTGGCTGGGAAGCATCCAACCTGGGTAACCTGCAGAGATCATCACGATTCAAGTCCACCCAAATCCATCTTCATGCGGCGGCCTGTGGATCTGCTTTTGCAGGAAGACTCTGCAGTCCGGCTCCAATGCCTTGAAAGATAACTACATGTTCTGGCTGCTCAGACGAGCCTTCCAGTTGCAGAGTTCATGCCTCGAGTCTATTCCTTAGCTGCGGCTCCGACGACTCAAAGCTCTTTTGATGTCTGCTTCCATTTGCTGCAAAGTGGCTCCCCGTTTGCAAGTAGTTCACATGCATCAGAAATGTCTCCGCTTGAGTCTGACGTCCGCTGGAAATGAACAGCGACCTTTCACAAAACAAGCGGCCGGCAGGCATCCAAAATCTGGCGACGTCTTGTGGGTAAAGCTTCGCACGCTGACGCTGGCGCACCAAGACGAAGAGTTGGCACTTCGTGCACGCATCCAGGTGTTCTGCACCTTGCAGGCTTCGCACCTGGAATGAACAGGCTGCGATCGGCAGATGCGCTGTGTATACTGATATACTGACAGGCTTCATGGTCACTGAACTCGCGCCTGGAGGCACCCTTCAACAAAATCGGTCTACTATGTTGTTTTTGCACTCACTCGACTGCACAACGCCGGGCCTGCACCGCAGCAACGGCCTGGACGACCAATCAACGAAGCAAGCGACACAGATTCTGCTGTCTCCACGTCAAGCTTGTACAGGCAAACCCGCGCAGATCCGAAACTTTTTCCTGGCTTCTCCAGATGGATGCCCTGTGGCAAGGTGCCAGCAGACAAACTGCCGGGAGTTTGCATGGCCACCTGTCGTCAGCAGGGGCCTGCCATGCGGCGAAGCTCAAGCACACGTCTGACGCAGGCCAAGGAGTAGGGCAGATCGCAACAGACAAGTCCAAAATCTCAGGCCTGAAACAAGTCAGTCCTGTGCTTCTCCTTCCAGAGGATCTTGGTAGAAGAATGCACCTCGCTTTGACCGGCCGTGCTCACATCTTGTCTAGCAAGCTTCAGAGAATCTGCAACGCAAGATTCAGATTTCAGCCAAGAAGCTATGCCCGGCTGTACAGATGGGCATTTCATGGTGCACATGGCATCGGTGCAGTCGACCCAGTGGGTGTTGGCTCGGGGTTGAATCAGAAGCGGCCAGCATCACGGCCTTTGAACTGACGGCCGGCACGCTCGGCTCGCTCCGGAGAGCGCTCCTCTGCAAGGGTGGCAGCCATGAGTTTGCCAGTGATCTGGACCTTTGCGGCACGGAGCCGGTCCAGCAGAGGTGCAGCCAGCTCCTCGCGGAGGCCCTTCTGGACCAAAGCGGCCAGCAAGCTCTCCAAACAGTCTTGCTCAATGGAGACACCGTGGTTCTTCATGCCTTTGCCATTGTTCAGGCCATAAACCTCCTCGACCACCTGGACAGCCTCTCTCATCTGTCCCATTCGGACCAAGCCGGACACAAGAGATGTACAGGCACGGGTGTCGGCACTCTGACCTGCCTGTCGCATGTCACGAAAGACTTGCAAAGCCTTGGCCGGGGATCCGTTCATCAAGCAGGCGCCCATCAGACACGACCACACCTGGCAGTTCGGCACGAAATTCCCCCGCTTCGGGAGGGAGGCCATGGCCTGAAAGGCCTTCTCCAACTGCTTCTGGCGGCTGTAAAACTTCACCAGGATGCCAAGAGTGAAGTTGGTCGGGGCAATCCTGTGCTCCTCCATGCTTTGGAGAATCCGATCGACCAAGTCAGATCGCTTGTGCTTGGTGCAACCGTCCAGGATTGTGTTGTAGACGATGGCATCGTGGTAGACGCCACTTTCCTGCATGCCACGCAAGACTTCCATGGCCTTGTCCAAGTCACCTCTCACGGAGTATCCCTTGACGATGGTCGAGTGGGTGATGCCATCGGGCTGGCAGTTGTCCTTATCCATGGCTTGAACTATCTCCAGCACGTCCTCCATGTTACCAATCCGTGCTTGCGCATCCACGAAGGCATTGCAGGCTGCCGTGTTCATTCGCACACCTTTGCGCCGCATGTCGTGCCAAAGATCCATGGCTCTCTGAGACTGGCCAGTGGTTGTGAATCCTTTCACGAGAATGGAGCAGAGCACGGCGTTCGGCTTCAAGTTGCTCTTCTCCTCAGATCAGACAAGCAGACGCAAGCCAAAGAATCACCCAGGGCCTGGGCCCTGTGGCAGCCTGTTGCCTACGGCGCACGCCTCACACTGAGCCCGGGTCAAAGAGTTGAACGGCTTCATCGACTTGTCCGTTACATACCAAGGCATCAAGCATGCAGCCGTACACGATGTCATTTGGCTCCAAACCTCGCTGGCCCTGCATCTCCTGAGATCTGAGATGAGCGTGCTAGGCCGCTAGCCGAAGCGAACCGCACCCCGCAATCGGAGGCGAGACAAAAAAACCGCAGCCCGGCAGACTCAGCCGAGCTGCATTCCAGTAGTGCCAGCACTTGTCGGGGCACTTGAGGTTGGCGTAGGCCTTGATGATGGAGCCGTAGGTGGGAACCGATGGCCGCAAGTTGGACTGCTCCTGAAACAGCCAAAACAAGCAAAAGAGAGAAAGAGAGAAAGAAATGCTGGAATGCTCTGCTTTGCTTCTTCTTGAGTTGTGGCAAGCTGAGCTGCGAATTTGTTGAGGAGAGTCTCCAGCCGCCTGGGCCCGGGCATGATGCCACAAGCGGCACAAGCACTGGCGGGGCAGGCGGCGCACCACAGTGTGCGTCAACCCCCCAAATCAGCGCCTGAACTCCTTGTGCCGGATGTACGTCTCCAAAACCTTCGAAGAGTTCTAGAGCACGCGGAGTGCAATACAAGGGCATAGCTGGAGTTGGAGCAGCTGAAGACTAAAGATCATTGCAAGGCGCCGTGTTCATCAAAATCTCATCCGAGCAGGGATCGATGTGGGAACGGTCCAAGAAGTTCAAGCATCGGCTGACCTTGGCATTGTGACAGTGGCATCCTGGCATCCCTTGCAACAGCTGGTATCTCAAGTTGCCATTCGAGGTATCGCTCAGAGCCGCTGACATCTTTCTGTCCCTTGGCCCTCTTCAGCGCTTTGAGCATGATCGACACCTGCTAGGCACAAACACGATGAAACGATTTCGATCATCACCGACAAACGCAGCGGATGTGAAATGCGAGCTTGGTGCCGTGTAGTGGTCTGGAGGCACATTCATTTGCTCCTCAGTGCAGGAGGCTCATACCATGACTCATACCAGTAAGGTCACAAGCCTTTTTGTAGGCAAGCCTCCATCTTTGCAATGGTGTCCCAAGCCTCCTCGAAGCTACCATTGTTCACAGCCGTGTTCAAAATGCCTCGGGGAAGTAAAAAGGCAGCGGACACAGCGCTAAAGGCTGAACACCATGCAGCTCTCATTTGCAAGCTCGAGCGACAGTTGTAGGAGACGTCGTTGGGCTGGAATCCCGCTTCCGACATCTCCGATAGAAGCTCCTTTTCGGTGGATAGGTGAATGTTGGAAGCGTCGCTTTACTTGGCAGCTGAAATGTCCTTGGCACCTTTGAGATCGCTTTTCGTGCAATAGCCCTTCAAGAGGGTGTTGTACGTGATGATGTCCTCGCATAGAGGCCCTAAACTGCCACTGCTAGTGATTGTGTCAATCATGTCTTCGGCCGGGTTGCAAGAAGGCCCAGCTCCTGGCATCACGTGCATTCTAACCCTAGATTGCATGTGATGGCAGAACCGACGGAACTGCAAGCAGGTGTCCTTCATCTCCTGTACAAGCTTTCGCGCCCGGACCAGGTCACCAGCCTTGACACAGACATCGAGCACGCAGTTGAAGGCAATGGCATCCGGTTTCACCTGAGCTGACTTGGTGAGAGGAAGTCACTAAGGCCACCCACATCTACCCAGCCAGTGAAAAACAGTGTATGTTCATATACGTGTGCCTGTGTGCCTGCATGCTCCCTTGTCCGTTGTTTACACAAGGGGTTTTGACACCGAGAGACAGGAGAGAGAGAGAGAGCGGAAAACAACGAGCACGATAGCGCTATTGAAAAACCGAGATTTACAATTTAGATGCTGCAGGCTGTGGCACTCCCGCTGTACCTCGGTTTTAACTGTTGTACGTCACTCTTCGGGCGCTTGATAGGTTTATCTCAATTTATCTCTCCTTAGCAAGCTGACTCGGATCACGCAGGCCAAAACTGCAGAATTATCTTTTCCAGATGCTTTTTCGACTGCGCAGAGGTCGCCGGGATCTGTCGACGGCCTTGTCGCTTGAATTTTCGCAGGACGCCCAACGAAACCACCGACTGCCAACAGGGATGCTCACGGGGCGTCTTCACTGCTTGCGAGAAGCTCGTCCAACGGGGACAGGCGTGTCACTTCGGCGCCGAGTGTCCAGACAGGGGCTGGGCTTGTGAAACTCGGCTGCGACAGCTCCGGATGTGCGCTGCGGCTTGCTACCAAGCCTAGCGAGGATGTCCGAGGCGTCCTCGCCACCAAAGCTCAACAAACTCTTCGCTTGCGAGTGTGCACTGCCACAGAGTCTCTCACCTCGACAGGCTCCACCAGTTAACTTGCCACGGCTCGCAAGCTTCGATGAGACATCAGTCTGGCAGGCTCGTATCCTTGTAGCCTTTCTCTGCAAGCCTGACTCCAGGGGATCAACTTTGGCACGGAGGTCTCGGCCTGGAAACCCTCCAGAGTCTGAGATGGGAACTGTCCTCGCAGGCACGGGCGCTGTACCCGAGTTACCCGGTTGGCCCTCTTCAGCCACAGCCAGCCAACTGCTATTGACTGGAGCTGCAACACAAAGTGCAGTAGATGAACTTGCAGCAGAGCGGGTATGCTCTTGCGACTCTTCCGTTGTCTGGGCAATGCCGTTAAAAGCGTACATGCCTTCCAGATCAGAGTTGGAAGATGAACCTTGTTCTGATTGTGCAGCAAGGTCGAAGTCTACGGCACTGGTGCTCTGCCTTTCAAGCTCGCACTTCTCATGCCCACCGTACCCTTTGGAGAGAAGCAAGCTGCTTGGGTTGGCCACATGTGCCTGGCATGCTGGCGTGGCGCCGCTCTTGCTGAGCCACTTCTTCACCAGATCAGAACGTGAAGCCATTCAGGCCATCGGCTACACCCCCGCCTTGCAACTCGATACTTACTACTGTAACTAACGTGCGCCTGAAGACATCTTCAATTATGTCACTATGTCGTGAAATCTGAGAGAAGCCCGACTAAGCTTCAAGCATGCTCTCCCCCGAACGACATGTGGGCTGGCTCTATGTGGGCTTCTGAGAACGGCTGCGTGATCATCCAGCGGGACAGATCCTACCGCTCCGAGCTGCAACCGGTATCTTTGCCCCTCTTCCTGACACCTAAATGTGAGACAGCAGCACTGAAGCTCTGCCCAGGGGCATTGTTCTCGCGCAGGCGCTGGATGATGGAAAACGCCCTGTCCACATCGCGGTCACGGCCGGCGGCTTTGATAAGCGACATGTAGTTCCTCGCGACAACAGAAACAAAAACGAAAGCCAACAAAGAGAGAGAGCTGAGCAGCTTGGAAGCTCTGCTCTCTCGCTCTCTCTTCTCTTCTCTTCTCTTCTTGTCTCGCTGCGGCTGGGCTTCTGGATGTCCAGGACGGAGAGCTTCTCCGAGAGTTCCTGGGAGAGCTGGGTCCGACCACACTCGACGGAGAACTTCATGAGGCAGCCGTACATCATCGTGTCCGGCTCCAGGCCGTCTTGGCGGATCTGGTCGTACAAGTCACAGGCCTTGCTGTACATCCCGGAGTAGGCATAAACCTTCATCAAGCCGCTGTAAACCGCAATGCTCATCCCCGGGCCCGCGCGCACGAAGCGGACGATCTCCTCCGCAAAGCTCAGGAACTTGCCGTCCGCGCAGCGGGCAAGGAGACCCACGCACAGCCCTTCGCTGATGGTGTGACCTTCGGCTTGCATTTCCTTGAAGATCTCAAGCGCATGAACATCGCAGTCCTCAGCAAAGACCTTGAGCAGTGCGTCATATGCATGCACTCCGAAGGAGACCTTGGCCTCTCGCGCTGCCTTCTCCACTTCTCTGGCAAGCTTGGCATCATGATTGCGAACACAGTCTTCAAGAATGACTGTAACTGCCTCTGTTCCCAGTGCCACGCCGTGTTCGATAAGCTTCTGATACATGGCTGCTGCCTTTGAACTCTCAGCCGCCACACGAAGGAACTGCGCCACAGCAAAGGCTGGAACAACATGACCCGATTTGGTCATGGAGACAATCCTCTTGAGAACCTCATCCACCAAGCCATTCTTTAAGAAGCCTTTGATAATCAAGGAGTGGCCACGTGGCGACAGCTTGAGCCGATCCTTGCGCATCAGGTGTTCAAACTCCTCGACGCGATCCGGATGGCCAGCCGAGGCGAAGCCGCCCAAAACCACTTCGTACATGGAGCAGCTGCGGGCGAGGCAAAGCTTCTTCTGGTAGACGTCCCACAAATCCATCATCACTTCCACGTTTCCTGAACGAGCCACCGTGTCCAAGATGACGGTCCCTGCCCAAGAGTTCACCAAAACCTCCTTGTGCAAGCGGAGGTGCTCAACGAGTTCGTCGACGAGCTGTTCCGGCTCTGCATCCACGAAGGCTTGCACCACAGGCTTCAGGAGGTCTTTCGGGGTGGGCGCCTGTGCCTGCTCATCGCGCCATGCCTGCAGAAGCTTGGAGGCATTGCCTGCTGCCGCTTCGGTCTCCATGGTCCTCCGGGCGCTGGGTCGAAAGGTGGGCGGGCCACCTTTCATCTTCCCCTTTTTCGTCTTTTTGAAAGTGTCGGCGCGAAGGTAGAAGAAACCCATGGAAAAGAAGAACAAGAAGGAGAGCTCAACCCACAGGGGAGCCAAAGAGTTGTAAACGGCGTCGAGGGTCTGCGATGCCGTCGACATTGTGAAGTCGGCCATGACGTTGATGGTCACGACCGGAAAGAAGACGCTTTTGGTTGGGATTTCTTAGCTGACAAAGCAGACGGGCTTTACGGCTCCTCTGCTTGAAGTCCACAGAAGACTCGAGTTGTTGCCCAACGGGTGTTTGGGCCAGATGCGCTAGTCTTGAGCCAAAAGACATATCGGAGGGTGTGATCTTTCATAGCGATCCATATTTGGGTGGAGCATGGAAGTGCTGATCACGAGAACATGTCAAACAAGTACCACAGTTCCATGCTTCGGCTGTCCGAGTCCGCGACAAGGAACACACACCGAAGTTTCTTCAACAGCATCGAGCCTCGAAGCAGAGCCCGACGATGACGGGCGGATGCAAACAAGCCGGGCAAGAGATATGAAACAAATTTAGTGTTGCAGAGCATAGGCACCGACCATGCCGAGCGACGGCAGTCTACCCGCGTGGGCCTCGCAGGTGGCACAGTCGTTTGCCACCCTTTCCACCAAGTTCTTGGCGAGACATGCTGCGATCACTTTTCCTTTGGCTGCACCGCACATACTGATCGCAAAGCCAATTGTTGACGTCTCGTTTGCCGAGACCATGGGATCTCTACAAAGTAGTCAGTGGTCAATTCGCTTCTGCATAGAAGCGGACCGAAGCATATCTATGTACATGCCTGCTTGAGAAAGCCCCTCTTGCGTCAAGAGAACAGTTACTGACTGCGGTCCGGAGCACAGAGCATTTCTGGGAGTGTGTCTGCACATCCTGTCGGGTTGCTTGTCTCAGGCAGAGTTTCCTGCTTTTCGCCGGTCCAGGCCGCAGGCTGGCTACATGTTTGAGGACCCGGAGGCCATCTTGTGGCCCGGATCTCAGGCGTCAGACAAATCCCATTCAGCCACGCCCTCACTGGACGATGTCACCTCTCTGGCACAAGCCTAGGACCTCGGAACCTGGCAGACAATGCCTCCTGGTAAAATCACATTTTCTGCTTCTGCTTTGCTCCCTCTCTCGACCAGGCTCATTTCTTGGCATGCGTAGCGATTACATCCTGTGTTGAAATAGTGAAACTCACACATTCCCACGGCATGTATAAGCATCAACGCTTGCTCCGGGATCTGCTGTGCACCCAAGCTTGTTGGGCTGCACATTCGTATCTCATTTCACGTCCCACCTTCCCATCATGCTTCAGCTTTCGTTGGCATCTCTGCCAAAACAGATTCGAATTGTTGACCCGGCGGCTCAGCAAAGCAGAACATCCGCACAACTTCGTCGCTTCTATGGGGAACGGAGTGACAATCAAAAATGCTCGTTCAGGGCAAGTTAAAAAAAAGGAAAACTGGCACGAAAACACAACAATGGACTTGTTTTCCAGCCAACACGTGAAATGAAGACCTACTGCAGACACCTTGCTCCGAGCCTCGTCGCTGTCGTCTAACTCTTCGAGCTCCTCCTGCTCCTCCTCTTCTGCGCCCTCGAAGAAGGCAGGCAAGCCAGGGTATCCTCCAGTTCCGAAGCCTTCGCGGCCTTCGCGCTCCAGCCTGGGGTAAGAAGCCATCCGGCCGTGGTCCAGATGAGCCATCTGGGCCATACGGAGCATCATCGGAATGCTGAACATGGAGTCTTCGTCCGAGTCTTCATTCTCTACCTCCGGTTCCTCTGGCGCCTCGGCCAATTTCTGGAAGAAGTCAGTCTTTGACCCCACCTCGTCCACACATGCCGCCCAAAAGCAGGCATAGGTGCCTTGTCTGGGATTCCAGCCACCATACACCATAAGCATGCCATTTGGCAGGGCACAGCCTCCACCGAAAGCTCGGGGGGAGGGGTGACTGCGCCCAGGCACATTCTCCATCCAAGTTTGATGGGAAGAGGAAAAGGCAGTGCAATGCGGAGTTGGAGCACGGCCACCACTGACGAGCACCACTGTGTCCGTGCCAGACAAAGGAACCGCAACATGGCCCCGACCATGTACGAGCCCTGTCTCGGATGTCAAAGGCTGTCGCTTCCACCTAAAGTGTGCAAGTCCATCGAGCCCGAGAAGCCAGTATGCCCCATTTGCAGGGCTTGTCAAATCATGTCCTCCCCGAGGAGGTCCACCGTTCCGCTCATCCCCGGACCCACCTCCCACTATGAGAATGCCGTCTCCTTCTTCACATCGAAGAAGTGTTGCACTGTGAGAGTTCCGTGCCGCTGGCGCCTCACCGTCGCAGCTTATGTTTTCGACCCACGTCAAAGAGGACAGATCAAGCAAGTCGAGGGAGCTCGAGACAGACCCGTTCGTGTTACCCCCGAATGCGAGAACATAGCCTGAAGGAAAAGCGCAACCTGCGACCTTTGGCGGCACGTATGTGGCGCTGTGATTGGAGCGCGGCGTCATCTCACCGGTCTTCAGCCAACGCGCACGAACAACATCTTCTTTGCCACTGATTTCCATGAGGCCGTAGCTAGAGCTCTCACCGAAGTAGCCTCAATGACCATGGTTCGAAGCCAAACGAAAACATGTCTGAGTCTCTGAGAGTCTCTGTTCGCCTGAGGCCTGAGGCCACCGCCACCGTGCAAGTAGCCCCCGGTCACCAGAACGCGCACAGAGAAGTCGCCATAATCGCCCAGGTCGCGGCCCTCGTCGAGGACGGTGAGCTTCCCTTCGTAAGTTGGTGGAGGCCTCCGGCCTTCGCTGGGCCCTTCAATGGGAATCGATTGCAAGCGAAGCGGTACTGACAAAGGCCCCACGTGGAGATCACCTCAGTCCCACACCCCTACATGTACTGCGGGGTGACTCTGCATGAGACTGGCTCCTCTTGGCTTAGCTTGAAGGCATTGCGAGGTTCGTTGCGTCTCGCATAATGTGTCTAGCATGCCCATGTAAGAAAAAAAGCAGGTCTATGATCCAGGCGACAGGGAATCAAGCCAAGACGGCAATCCACGTCATGTAACCTAATCATATCATACAGTTCACTGGCCGTGGCTCCGCCCCTTGGTGGCCTTGGGGCGCCAATGGGTCAGCACTGTCGAAACTCGACATGACGTACATTTGGAATCGCCCTGGCTTTTCCCGAAAACTGAATCCAGTTGTTGCCCACAGTGTTGAGGCAGCGATTGAGTCACCTACGCTCGCTTGGTTCGACTAGAACGCCTGGCCCCTCAGCTTGAACATGAAGCCCCGTCGCTCCTTTCGGTTCCTGATCATGTCCTTCCAAGAGATTGCCCACGAATCCATCACTTTAGTGGTGGTGTTGAATCAGCCGCTCGAGAACTCCACGTGCGCACTCCGACCTGTGAAGTCATACTTGGGCCAAGCGAGGTTCAGGCTGCACCTGACACCTCTGTACCGACACATCAAGACACATCAAGACATAAGTTCCTTACACAAAGACAGCTGTTGATTTGCAGGACTCCTTGTGCCCCATAACCGGAAAGCGTTCTGTGCGTGCATTGAGCCGATTGAACAGCTTGAACACCTGTTCTTCTCGCGATGTTCGACTGCCTGCCGCTGTTTTTGCTTGCTGTTTTGTTTGGCCGCTGCCCCAATCTGGATCCAAGTCGCTCGTTGGACCTTGTGACCCCCAGCCACCGAAAACGAAGACCCGGCCGTAGCGGAAGAACATCCCGGGCGAGCCTTCTCTCGCTCCCAGCGTGTGCTGGCAAGGAACTCTTCGCCACTCGATTGCATTGCATCGTCTCCTCTGGATCAAAACCTTATAGATGGACTTTGCTGCTTCTGCTTTGCCTTCATCACCATGAAACTCCTCAAACAGGCTGCCACTAGCAACACCAACGGCAGCGAAAGCATGCATTTGCCAGTCCTGCTTCAAAAACCTTGCCCACAGAGATGTCCTTGGCAAGTTTTTCGACTGTTTGCATGTCCAGAAGCACTTCCATAAGTCTCGCCTCAATCCAGTCAGTTATGCAAAGCATCAGAGGATTAGAGGCGTCTTCGTCTAGACGGTGCTGAAGGAATCGCGCCACTGGACCCAGGCATGCTGCAACCTCGGCACCACGGAGGCCTGAGCAAGATCACACGGTGCACACGACAAACGGTGGAACGCTCTCTCCGTAATGGCCAACATTAGCCAGGTCTCTAAGTAGAATCGTTGAAAGAACCTCGGCGTTCGACATCTGCAAAAGCGACAGTACTACGCACTGCTGCGTTGCGACTGAGGCAGCAACCTCGTCGCTCAGGTCGCGCAGGTTTGGGCCAGTTCCTGTCAGAACACTATAGGCCCTAGGCGCAAAGGCTGGACTGGCCCTTGCTGACCGATGCTCACAGTACAGCCGCCTCGGCGCTCCAAATCATCCCGTGCCTCCAACACTCACCGACGTAACCCCCTTGCCCCCTTGCCCCCTTGCATACATAAGCATGGTCTTCCTGCCTTGATGGCAACAGCCACAGCGGGAGGCTGGAGCGATGCCTCAGGCTAAAACAAGTCGATGCCTTGAATATCCCAACCACTGGCCTTGACATGCATTGCCTGCAGTCGTGAGGAGCGTCGACGGGAGCAGAAACACGACATGTGTGTGCATCAACCTCACAAGGGATCCGCGCAGCAACCCGACATGCTGCGACACAGCGTCTCTTGCCGGCCTCTGTGCTCGCACGGACTGGGTCTGAGATGATGGCAACCCCCACTAAGCCGAAGAAGCAGCGGCAACAGGATTGTCACAATTGTCTGAATGTCTACAGTCACAACAGCAAGCAGGGCCCATGCAGAAGCCTCATAAAGCCTTCGCATGCAAGCCAGCCGCATGCTATGGTACCAACAAATTCGCAGGCCTTGGGCAACGTGAATGGCAACTTCTCACATGCGGTGAAGTCATCGGAGGCCATACTCTGAGCTACTGCCTTCAAACACGGACGTATGCGTTAGTTCTGTCGCTGTTTCGCATCAAATCTTAATCGATTGACTGCAGCTCAACGCTGAAATCATTGGACAACCTGCGCATCAGTGATAGCCAACTGCCCCTGCCAGTATCGACTACACGCTTGCGCAATGCACTGGCGGAGCCAACCGGTCCGAGCCGATCTGTCATGCAAGCTGGGCAACCTAAACCAAGACAGGGCAAATGATCTAGCAGCTAGCCATCCAAGAACTGGCTTTAGATGTCTTCAGCTGTCGCAACAACACGCAGTATAATGCAGCACTTGTTTTGCAAAGCCGTGTTGGCATGCTGGTCGTCAGGCTCGCGAGGAGCACCAAACACGATGTCGTGGAACATCCTCTTGCAGATGCTGCACACCTGGACATGGGCCCGAATGAACTCTACGTGCATTGCCGGTGAAAGCACCCTGCCCCCCGCGCTTTCCTATGGTCGCAACACTCTTGGAGCATCGCAGCAGTAGCCGACGTTGCGGCAGGCCGGACATCGAAGCAGGTCTTTCTGCATGGTCATGCATACTGGGCACCTGGCAAGGTGCTCGCGAGCGCGCAAGGCGCTCAAAGAGCTGTGCAATTTAAGCTGCAGCTGCGGCACTGCACGCGGGTGTTCATTGAAAGCACACCCGGCATAGCCGCCGAAGTCTCCAACAAGCCTTCCGTCCAAAGACTGAAAAAGATTGTCGCGCAAATAAGAAACCGCGATACATGATTTGGGAATCTTTTCCAAATGCACACACTCGGTCTATGGCTTGGGAGTACCGCCCGCTTGGACATGCAAACAGGACTTGGCAGTCTCAGATAAGTGCTTGATGTTTTCGATAGGGTGGGAAACTCAGATCCCGACTAGCCCTACTCTGGAACTCCTGGCTGTGTGCTACAGATGATGTCCATGCTTTCATGTGGCAGTTTGGCGGCCAGAGGGTGTTAGTTCAGCAGGCGGGCTGTCGCTATTCAACGGCAAGGCAGAAGACAGCTAAACCTCGGCAGCAGACTACGTTACAGGCCCGATCGACTGGCGAGAAAACTTCCGTGTTCAATACTCTGACGCACGTTTGTAGATCAAGTCGCACGCGCCTTTGGTTGGCTCAGCCGTTCCTCGGTCAGCTGTCATAAGAGACATGGACAACTGCGTGCGCATAGCGAGGCAGAGCACGATCGCCACGCAATCGGCGATGCAAAGCACACGCCTGACATCAAATCACTTTTGGTTTGAATGGCACTTCTGCAGTGCACGGACTGCTGCTGGCCTTCTCTCGGACAGTAGGCGAGCTGCTGCTCTCGGCAATTGCAACAAAGGCTTCCGCCTTCAAATCTTGCCTCCAACACACAACTGATCAGTGCTCGCACACATAATGGAAAATAGCCGCGGCCTCAAATATGTTACAGCCTCGAGCACCAGCTCATTCCACTCATCAGTCTCATCCCAACTTGCCTGGAGAACGATGCCATCCGGTGACTTGGACTCTGTTCGATACACAGGTTGCGGCCAAGATGCATCGAAAGCAGTGCACTGCAGAAGCAGGTCTGCAAAGGCCTTTGCCGATCTCACGCCAAGAGAAGAAACTGGAAAGTGAATTAGAAAGAATCCAATGGCTCTGGACCTTTCCCTGCCTCAGTGTCGCATGCTAAGCCGCCATGGCTGCTCAAGTCGTCCAGAACGACCTTTTCGACGCCAAAGGAACGTGAAACGTGCAATCAGTGCCTTCGCTCTGTCTGCTGTCCGGTGCGCCGAGAGAACACCCCGTCCATCAGGCAACACACCTCCGAACCTGACACACAGTTGAATTTTAAACACACGACGCCACATGCAAGTGTTCTAAGCTTCCAACTCGGGGTGCTTCCCTCGAGACTCATCCAAGACTTCTTCTAACACCTGCACCTCCCAAAGATGCCCGTCGGCGACGTAAACTGTGCAATGAAAAGCACCTCACCGGCCATGATGCTGGTAAGCGCCCTGGCGCACTCTGCTCGTTTGCTTCGGTCTTCCGCACGCCTCGTCAAGAGCATCGCGGTTTCTTGCCCTCCTTGGGACTTGAGATGCGTTGAAGACATGTGTTCGGTGAGACAAAGCTGCCGAGCTTCGCCAACGCGTAAAGTGCCTCGTGGAGCGGTGCAGACGACGGACAACCCGAACATTGAACGAATGATGCTCTGCAGAATCTCTTATAAGCTCTCTGATGGACTTGCCGACAAATCCATGCATGCTTGGGCAAACACCTCGGGCACGCTGATGTCTGGAAGAGCAGCAACCCGACGCCGCCTCCACCTCCCGCTGGAAACATTTCAGAGCAGCTGACGGGACGTGCACAGTCCCACTTGCAGCCCGAGCAGCGCAAACCAAAGCAAACCACAGAAGCCGACGCCGAGACAGATTGAAGCCGCGGTGTTGGAAATCATGGCCCCCATGTCTCCGAGGAACTCGGGCGGCTCTGGGGGTCAAGCATCAGAACTGGGACTGCTCAGACCGTTCAGCCGAGATTGGTGTTTCTTGGCGACTAAGCGTGCAAAGTGCTTTCATGGCGAATCTATCTGTGCAGCTTCTTGAAGGGCTCGAGCAGAAACAGATGGGCTGCTGCAGCACTCTCACCATGTATCCATGTCGAAAAGCGAACCAGCTTCTGCTGAGTGCCCTGAGTTTTGAAGATTTGTTCGGCTCCAGGAAAATCAGGAAACATGGGCCCCAGTTCCACAAAAGCTGCCCTGAAAGAGTCCGATATGCTCGACTACGGCTGGTGAAGCCGGCAGAATCGTGTCTGGGGAATGTGTTGCTTAGACATGGTGACTTTCTCAGGCTGCTTTAAATGAACATGCATCGTGCCTTCCGCTGACCTGTTTTAGATGAACGTATGGAAAATGCACATTCGGAGCACAAGAGTGATCGTGTGCAGGGTGTTGCGCTTTCGCGGCCGGCCTCGACCGCCTCTCCACCTTCCGTCGGGCACTTCTGTTTCTGTGGGAGGGGCACCTTCTGAGGCAGCCCCCCCCCCATGAGATGTAACCTGGACGTGTATCCCCTCGCTAGGCGTACAGGAACACAGGCACTCAGGTGTCTCTTTTTCTACAGGCGCACAGCTGTAGTCCACTGCACTAGAACCTTGAGCAACAGGCATGGATACATGCAAGTGATACGTGAAACAGACAGGCACCTGGATGTGTAACATTCAGTGTTTCAACCAGGCACAAATTTAAAACACGTAGAACTGCATGGCCGTGGAGTCGGCATTCTACAAGCCTGTTATCGCTCTCGGTCGAATTAGCGGAGGATTGAGCTACATCTGCGACTTGAAGACAACTATACATTCTCTGGCCTGGAGACAGCTTCATGAAAAGAACAGAACACGCACGAATGCAAACGGATCTTCAATTGAAACTTTTGCTTGAAAGTTGCCCACTTGTGTTTCAGTTCCCTCTCCAGATGGAAAGCATACTGCAACATAAAAGATGGAGAGCATAGCTCCACTAGTGCTCCACTTGATGCCAGCATGACATCTTGCGGCAAGGCAAATTGTAAAGGGCTTTCGAAGTATCTTATCCTGAGATAAATGTCTTCTTGAAAGATGAGTTCTTTAGGAAGTACCTTTTCCTGAGCCAAGCATCTCCCTATGAAATGACGAATGCTCGAAGTGGATACCTTCTTCTGAAAGAAGCATTCCGTGAAACACTCAGCCAGTTCATCGACGAACTCAATGTCTCTGTCCCAGGTTCGATCACGGTGTTCACCATTCCAACGGTAAATGTCCCTTCTGTGAATTGGCATCACCGGTGCATGGCGAACTGGATCATACATATCCTGGATCAGCCGGGGTCCTAGGTTCCACAGGTTGTGGAACAGGAACAACGTCTTCATTTCGCTCCAAAAGAACTTCTTCGAGACCATCGTCCATGTCCACATCCGAATCAGAACCTAGTCAATTTTTCCCCTTGTTCTTGCCCTTGGACTTGTCATTGGATTTGCCCTTGGAATTGCCTTGTCGGAGTCCTTGCCTTTTGCTTTGGAGGACTTGCCTCCTTTGCCGCCTTCTTTGCCACCGGGAGGTTGTGCGGGTTCTGGAGGACGTTGAGAACCAGAAGCTGTTGCACCAGAAGCTCCCTCTTCCTGAGAAGAGCCTGCTCCTTGAGGTGCGGCTGCGGAGGGACCAGAAGAACCAGAACCATGCGCCTTGTTCAACTTCTGCCTCTCTTTCCTCCTGTCCGCGGCATCCTTCATGCTGGCGGGATTACGGTTCAGCGCCCTCATCCTGCCTCCAGTGTACTGGTTCGCGTGAACCTCGATTAGGAGCGGAGTGTGGGCGTCGTAGTCCCGGTCGTTCAGGAGGTACGCGGCGCTGGTGGAGTTCAAAAGCCATTCGGAAACCTTGATGTCATACTCGGTCTTTTGAGCTGGAAACTCAGCCAACTGATCCTCTGACATGCTGTGTCCCCACTCCATGACTGTCGCCAGAACTGGGTCCAACCCTGGAAAGGTATTCCAGTCAGGTTGCTCGCAGTTCCGGTACGGTCCACCGAGCGTGTCCTCGTACTGTTTCAGAAGCCCCACGGTGTTTGCTGAGACGTGTTTCGCTCGAGGCGAGCAAAGGTGCGGGCATTTCGGGCCGTCCGACCAGGCCTCCAAGAAGTAATCGAGAAGGCTTTGGTACATTCCGCCACGAATGTCCATGGACTCCTGCTTTCTGCCTGTGGCTCTGTAGAGAGCCATGTTGGCATCGCCGCCGATAAGGTCGACTTGGTAATGCAGCCAGTCAACGAACATGTTGCCCAGAACCTCGTGAGCCAACGCCACCTTGTCGGCTGCCACGTCGTTGCGGAGGTGAAAGCAACAGACCCCTTTGCGGTCGGAGCCGCCACACTCCAGGACCTTGATCAGTGCTGAGTCTGGAAAATCGCCACGATTTCCCTGTGTACCCGTTGGCACAGTCATCTCGTACACGATCTCGAGGAACATATAAGTGATCGGAAGAGAATGATGCGCAAGCCCAGTGAGTGTTGAGCCTGCCAAACGGGTGATGCTGCTGACGACATTGTTGGTGCGACTCCCGATGAGAATGTCCTAGAGGCATTCTGCAGAAATTGCCACCCACGCGCTGTGAGAAACTCCTTCTCCGAGTCGTTGATCTCAGAAGCCTCACACAACATGAAGAGGTGTGATTTGCTCTGAGCGATCGACTTGATCAATTCTCCCTTGGATGGCGCGGAGTCGTCCCAGTCAATGTGACTGGCAACGGAGGAAAGTGCAGTGCGTTTCCTCCCTCGGCTCATATTGCCGAGATTGACAATGAGAGCGGCGTACTTGGTCTTGCTCGTGAAGATGGGGACATTGGCATCCTCCGCAAGACCAAAACCATGAATGTAAGGATTCGGCATCCTCTCAAGAGAGGTCCCGGATCTCCTCCTCATCGACTCCAATGCTGAGGAAGTAGTGAAGCATCGCATTCAAGAGTCCTTCCCGAGTTGCTGGATTGCCGCGTTCATCGAACACCTTTACCTTCTCAAGGAGGGCGTCCAGAACTTCAAGAGCAGATGCACGAACGTCAGAGGCTTTCTCCATCAACTTGTCATCTAAGGTGCTGCGAACGTCCCCCGATCTGAAGACCACGTCGAGTCTATCGGGACGGCGCTGAGAGAGTACTTTTGCCCCTTGTGAGGCGGAGCATTGACCCTCCAGTTCATATGTTGCACCTTAAATGCGAGAAGTGGTTCCCACGTGTGGTCGCGCAAGCCGGTGTGATAAAGGCCACTGTAACCATAACCACGTGCTTGCTTGGAGAGCAACCGCATGGGACTCTCATGTTCGATGTTGACGAGGTCGGCGAGGAAGTGCTTGTACTCGTCGGTGTCGGCGAGTTCGATCTTCTCCTTCGCCTTCCCCATGTTCTCGAACGCGTTCTCGTTCTTCTCCTCTGCGTCCTTCGCGGCCATGCTTCACATGCAGTTCGTAAAGCTCAACATCATTGTTCAACTTTTCCAACATGCGCTGATTCTGCGGAGAAGCCCTTGAGACCTCGTGGCCTGGCAATGGAAGCGCGACCCTCCTAGGTTCTAGTGACTGAGCCTCTGGGGCTCCGGGAGGAAGCAAATCTGATGCCCCCGGTTCGGAAGGTTCGTACTCTTGAAGATCCGGATCATCTTCAGGAGCAACAGGAGGAGGAGCCGATTCTTTGAGTACCTTTCCCTGAGGAAAGCTTCCCTTGGCTCGAATCCTTCTTGCTACCGGTGCCTTTCCCCTGAGGAAAGCTTCCGGATGCTCCTGCCTTCTTCGAGCTGTCTTCAGGCTTACCTTTGCTAATCATGTCCTCTGGCGATCCTACCTTAGCACGGGTTGGATCTCGGGACTTAGCTGGTACCGAGGTCCTACTCTCGATACCTCCTGGCAAAATCTTGAAGATAGTCCTACCGTTCCAAGAATCAGTTGTTCTTGTGGTAGGAGGCTCAGAAGAACGCCAGTCGTCTTCTTGAGTAACGCTCTTCTTACCCTTGGAGAACTGCATGATCGTCTTGCGCTTGTTGTCCAGATACTCCAATGGGATAGGCACTGAGCCTGCCTTGGGTTCGTACTTAACCTTCCTCATCTTCTTGTGGATGCGGATCATCTCCATGTCGGCTTCGTTGATGACCCCCTCATCATCCGTCGCCAATACGAGATTCTCGAGTACCTCTCCCTGAGAAGGGCATCCCTCCGTCTTCTGGTGGAACCGTACTCGTAGTGGGACAAGTAAGTGAGGAAGCTCGACTTCTTATGCTTGTTGAACCGCACGTTCCACATCAACTGACTGAGGTCGAGAAGGTCAAATACCAGGTGTGAGCTAGGTGCAACCTTTAGCTTCACATCCCTGATACCCAGTACAAGGCTGCTAAGCAAGGCCTTGTCCGGATGGAGTTCGAACTGGAACCTAAGGTTGCGCATCTGCGGCAAGGACATGAGAATGGGAGCATGCCCTTGCTCCACAATGTCGAACTCTGTCGATTGAACTTCATACTCCCGGTCGTACATGCAAATGACCAACTTCTGGTTGCACTTGGTCGACTCGGAATTGGCAAAGGTGCATTGAGAAGTCGTTTCAGCTATGGTGTACCAAATGCCACAGTCCTGATTCTTATCACAGAACTCCATGAGCCACTCTCGAAGCCATTGCTCTCGTGCATCCCAAGTCCAACACCATCGCGGTTGGCGTCAAGGGCTGAGAGATGAAAGCTCCTTCGATCCTGTCCATCTTCTCTTCGGTGGCCATGAAAGAAAGGTTCTGAGAGTTGACGTGTTCAACGAAGAAGGTTGTGGCGGCTGTGGTGCCGCTCGGGGCAGCATCGGCAAGCTGGGCTTGTCCGTCCTTTCCGGGCTTTCCATCCTTTCCATCTTTGCCAAACTTGCTCTTTCCTTTGCCCTTCTTTCCTTTCTTTCCTTTTCCTTTGGC